TAAACAGCTGCAAGCAGCACTTCGCTATTTCCAATTGGTATGCAGACCCCTGTCGCTTCTACTAAAACAAGGGGTGGTAGGTCTACATGGTTATGGGGAATGCCCTTTCTTACTGCAACGGCAGTCCCGCCCTTTCTGCCCGAGTGGCGGTCGTTTCTATAAAAGTCGTAATTTGGAATAAAGAACCTCTCATTAGGTTTCAGATGTGTCTCTGAAAACAGGGCCACGTCTACGTGTAGGTCTTGCAGCTGTTTACTGAGCTCATAGCGTTGCCTACCAATGCCGTTCGCATTAAATGCTATGACTTTGAGTGGCCTATGAACTCTAGTGGCCATTTTGTTTCATTAGGTTTAGAACAATTTTCGTAATGGCCATTATTTTTTCCTCCTCGGACACTGCACAACTGACCTCTGTCATAATCTGCTGTACTACGGTCACTACTCTCAACATATTGTCGAGAGATGGACTGTTTACATGAGTAGCCTGAGCTGACTGGCCTGCTTTTGTTCCTGTACAAGGACCGGGACGCTCGGTTTCGTGGTTTCTGGTGGAACTGCCACTGGAACTTGGCGAGTCTGAGGTCGCTGCTCCTGCGATATGCTGCCTCGGAGCGCCGCGGCGAAGGAGACTCCAGGGGTAACGATATTCGAGGAGAACACTTCCCGTTATGGTTTTGGGTGCCCTCTGCGAATTCTTCCTCTGCAGCTCTTCCTTCGCGTGTCTGCAGCCCCGATAGCTGGCCGGATGGGGCTTCTCTCCTTCCTTCAATTGGCAATTACAGCAAGCTGGAGTGGATGCAGCGTTCTCTTTCTGTGGACATTCTTTGTGCAGGTGGTCACCCCCGCACCACATACAACGGGGAGGTTGTTTGCAATTGGCCCAGACGTGGCCAAACTGTTGGCAGTTGTGACACTGCGTAAGGCCACTCTGTGCTCTACTATATGCCTCAACCCGGATGGAAATGTGGCAAAGGCTTTTTATTTTGAAAATTTCTTGCGATTTTGCCGTCCGGGATAGGATGATAAGGAAGAGTGGAAGGTTCCTTGATATCCTTTCTTCTGAAGGCGACCCGCGGGTGGTTGTCATCTGTTTGACGCTAACCACGTCAAATCCCAGGGCTACCAGTCCATCAGATATATCCTCCTCAGGGGTATTATGAGGGAGGTGACGGATTACAGCCAAAAATCAACTAAGAAACAATAACACAAGTATTTACTGCCTAAACAACATATCTGGTAGCGTATTCAATTCCAGCTTCTCCTCATTCTCTTTGAACTCACTGATAACATATTCAGGAACAAAATTAAAAGGTGTCATAATCTTTTTATTCTTCACCATCATCACGACCACCACAAACATCATCTGGCAGTCAATGAGTTATTTAATTGTTGACTTAGTCCAGCCCCATTTGTCCAATAATATCTTTGAAGGTCTTAGCCAGTTTTTTATTCATCAGGTTTGCAGACATCTCAGTAAAACGATACTTGCTTCCATTTGCTTCGTCTTTATGAATAAATTTTCAGACTTCTTTAAAATTGGGTGTGGTATCCTGACACCTATATAGGCATCCCTCTTTGGAGTAGTTAGTTGGTTAGTTAGTTAGTTATTGGAGAGGGTGGGTTTCCCCATGCACTGAGACCTGTATTGGTCCACTGTGCTTCCCTCTATGATTTCTACCAGTCTCTATATCCTACCGGTACTGGTGCTTACCATCAGTCCCGCCCAGCCAGCGAGTCCGGCTCTACTAGCTGAGAGGTATCTATAATGCTTCCCCCATCTACCAGAGGTATTAGAGATTGCTGTTGGGCGGGAAACGTCCGTTAATTTGGCTCAGTGACCTCCTTTGGAGATATGAGGTTATTTTACGTGCCGTAAAGCTACGACACGGGACCCACGGCTTAAAGTCCCTCCCGGAGGGCTTGATCCCTGAATTTTTCCGCCCTTAAAAATTCGACGACCTCTGCTGGGTATTTGAATCCGTGCTACGAGTCATGAGGTGGGAACGTTACCTCTAGACTACGGAGGCCGCTTCCTCTTTGGAGTATCTAGTGGAGACTGGTTGTGGTCTATTACCAGTACAGAGAAATAAATCCCATTTGTTCTGGGAACTGCCAGTCCTGTAAGAATTATAAATACATCTGAACAATACTTTAAAAGTATTAGCTTTTGGTATGTTATGCCATGTAGTCTGGTTGAGTTTCAGCAGGCTGCATGGCCTCAGACCCAAGAAGATAGTACTAAGCCACTTAAATAAATAGAGTAGATGAGCAGGAAAATACACAGTTACAAAGACAGGAGATTCCCAAGTTACAAATCCACCTTATTTGTAGTTTATGACTCTGTCAGTTATAAGACTGCATGACATTAATAATAAGATGATCAGTAAATCATGGATTTGAAACGATCTGAAAGTAAATGGCTCTGACTTAATGAAAGTACTGTGCCAGCATTTGCCCGAAGATATTGAGCTGGTCCCAGTTGGGACCAGATGTTTAATTTAAAGCTTTTACATAATTATGAGATTCATATTGTGACAAAATTTGAACTGACTTATGCAGAATTTGTTTTACACCCCATAAAAATTAATTTGAGTTTTGCCAAGGAAAATTGTTTCTTCTGGAGGGTGCAACAGTGGATTGCTGAGGTACTGTTCAAAACAGAGACCTATATTAAGAAAGAATCGGCCTGATTAGTATGATAAATTCGAAAATACTGAGTAGAAAATGTCCTTAGCTATCTTAAACATTCAGTGGGATAGTTGGCCAGTGGTTGCTACCACTCTCTTGGCACTCTTCGGGCCATCGTTTTTCAGACCTGCCCTGCCTTTGTGTAGCCATGTCATCTCAGAAAATTTAATTTATTTGTTTTTCATTATTTAATAATGCTGTTAGTAGCTCAGCATGTACAGCATCAAATGGGAGTACAATTACATTACACTGTATTACATCATGTTACATTACATTAAATTACTGAATAGTGAATTGGAAAGGACGTAAATGAATGTTGTCATGACATAATTTGTAGTACTGTCCCAGAATCAGCCTGAAGGGACTAAGGAAACTGCAAAGCACCACACTGAGGGTATCTAGTTCATGGTCCACCAGATTATCAAGCAGGGGGACTATTCCCTCAGTTGCAATATCTGGAGAACAGTACTTGAAGATGTCTGTGAAATTCTTACCTATTTGAAATCATATGATGAAGAGAGTGACTGTGATGAACTGATCATGAGTTGTGGGCCACATGTATTTATGCCTATAGAAAACTCAGTAAAAATAGAGATATTACTTGAGAAGATTTTGCAGATGACAAGGAAATTTACATCTGTTCTCAGCAGAGTCTATGATTCTCCCCTGATGAGATTAGGTAGTAGTTTTCATAGTAAAGAAGTAATGGAATCCTTCTAAAAATTTTAACTGTTCTAGTGTTCTTTTGTGCAACAAATTTAGTGTGTCATATGTTTGTGACATTTATTTGTGCTGTTATTCCTGTAGAATGCTGGGACAACTTGTAATTGATTTTAACTACATTTTCATTTCCTTTGAATAAATGGCAGTATAGTACTTTATGAGGAACCATGAATATTTTCTCCCATAGTCCTGCTAATTCTCTATTCAAAGACACCCTTCCATGTCACATTTGTTGCTACATAACATCAGTAGATGATAAAGCATTTTAAAATAACAGAATAACCAAGATTCTTATTTACCTCTTGATTCTACAGTTCTCAGAGAACCTCGGATCCTTTACAGCTGATGCCAGTTGTGTATTATTTGCCTTTTGCCTTTTATCTCTCATAAATCATTCTCTGCATGTTCCAGATAACTCAGTGTTTTCCCAGTTGTTTTCTACCTTCAAGCTTACTTTCATGTGTTTCCTTAACCACCACTCTTTGACATGCCTTAACCACTCTAGCCTTTTGCTCTTAGCATCTGCTACCAGATCAAGATTTTATATAATTCAACTTTCAACTTTATTTTCGTTCATAACTGAAGTGAATACAATTGGACATGTCAAGAAATAATAGCGAATACATCACATATTAAAGTCATAAAATTTACACAGTAATTTATCACTATAGTATAACAACCATCATAAGGATCATAACAATAAAAAATACATAAGACCAAAAGAAAAATGTCAGTAATATAAAACATGTAAACACAGTATTAAAAATTTGCAAATCAAAAGACAATCAACAAGCTAGTCATCAATTCAACATTAGTTGAAAAACTCTTGAAGAGAAAAGAAAGTGCTGCACAGCAAATAATTTTTTAGTTTCCTCTTAAAAACATTAAAATTTTTAACGTTTTTCAATTCAAGGGGAAGGCCATTAAATATTATAGTTCCCAGATTAATTTCACTTTTTTGCAATGATCTGTATTACAAAATTGGACATACAAATTGTGTTTATGTATGGTATTGTAGCTGTGAATGTCAGAATACTGAGTTGAATATACCTTATTCTTTATTATAAAGCATAAAATCTCAAATATATATAATGAGGTAGCAGTTTAAATCTTAAATTACCAAACATATTTCTACAGGATACTCTATTATTAACACCTTTAATCACCCTTAGACATTTTTTCTTTATTTTAAATACAGTTTTTGAGACCTTCTCTCAGTTCTTCATTTGTTCTGATTCCCCAGACTTCTTACTTGATTACTGGTCCATACACCTTCCCCAAAATAATCAACCTACAGTCCTTATTAATTCACAAAATCACATTCTATACAAGTTAGTTTCTAATGAAACAGGTACTAATATTTATGTAATACATACTTGATGAGATATGTCTTGTGTGCAGATCATATATGTGTAACAGAAAAATCAAACAACAAAAAGTATACCAAGTACTGCCCTCTTCTTGAGAAGTCTGGTAGCAAAGCAGCATGTGTAACTGGAAACAGTAGGTAAGAACTTTGGTTTGTGACCACAAAACAGTTCAATATAGAATATAATGCTGATAGTTGTCTTGTAAACGAAACCTTACAAGGAGACATTTTTAGCTCAATCATTCAGGCCTAGCCTTCCTTCTTGATACTTCCTTGCGCCATATAATATGACCGCTGTGGGAAGGCATGGTGATGATGTCTTGAAGATGATTGCTATATATTTTGTAGATTATAACACAAAAATATTTTGTTTTACTACCAGTACTTTTCTAGACCACAGGCTACAACAGACCTACTGGCCCATTGTTCAGAACTTGCGCTGCATATCATGTTGTCATCTGCCTTTCCACAGCACTTGTACTGTAGCCCTGTGTTATTTGCAGCCATATTCACTGCATATGATCATGAAGTGAAAGCCATAATACAGTTTAGAATTCTCTGGCCAAGCTTAGCTTCTTTTGGCTTTCCAGTCACCTCTGGCACCTGTAACCCACATGGCTATGGAGAAAATAGACCTAAAATTTTCTTTGTCAGTAAACTGATTAAGCTGATGAGGCAGGTTCTTCTATAATCTGATCATTGCAAGATATAAGACTGGTTTTCTGTTGCATTTAGTTCATAGATATATAAATAAATGGTGCAGCTAAGCAAAATACTTTATTTTAAAACCCTGATATTTCTTAGCTTCAATACAGAGGTGTAGCATGCCCATGTCATTCAGTTTTCTTGAATACTGTGGAACCTAAAGTTTAAATAAAATTTAAAGTTCAGTTCCTATCATGCTGAAAAGATATTGGGGCACCATTATGACAACCAACCAGTTAATGTTGTTTAGGGAATTAATTAATGCCTGTTCTAAGAATTATACACAACATATAAATGCATGGTATGTGAGAATTACAAAGTTTGTGAATGTTAATAGATGAGGAACATTTTGTAACTATTGTGCTTTAAAAGGATAAACAGGCTGTCAGTTCTCATATGGCCTATGGTACTAAACAATGCAACAGGAGGATTACTTATTTTAGAGATACTTATTTAAATAAATGTGATCCAGTATTATTTTCTGTACTTCAGTAACTGAATGTAAATGCAAATATTTACATCTTAATACTTCATTTTATTTTCTTTACATTGCAGACTTGATTGTCTGAGGAAGGTCCTGCAGGGAAGAGCAGATTTTGGTGTCTTTCAAGCAGAAGATATTGTTGTTGCTTCCAGTTACAAGAATCCTGATGTGCTAATAACCAATGAAATTAGAATGTTTGATAGTAAGTGTAGATTTAAATGTTTGGCATTAATGAGATAGAGAGAATTTCTCAATGAAGAATGACATAAACTGTAATTAAGTCTGTTCTTATGTGCAGTAGAGGGTCCAGCACTTATCATCCTATTTCTGATACTTCATATTCTTATATACTTAAAGATGTTTATATACAGAAATTTGTCTAAGAATTTTCTGAACAGCAGACTGTGCTGATCATAACAGCAGTACAGAAGTCTGAAACATGAAATCACATTATTAAATTTCCATGTTTTTGGTCAAATTTTGAATATCGGCTCTAAACTGTAACTTATATAACGTCTGTTCTGGATTTAACGTTCTCACAGTAGTGACTCTGAAATGCACTTTCTACTGGTTTGTAATGTTATGTAGCCTGGTAGAAGTTCACCAGTACTTTCTCCAGCTTCAGGGTTACTAGTTTATTGTTTGGCTTAATCTTGACCCCTCTAGAAGATATAGGTAGGGGCCAGTCTCCGATATATTGTTTCATATAAAAAATAGGTTGATGGATAATGTACAAAAAGTCAGTAATTGTATTATTATACCATTGTCATAAACTTTAAATCTAATTTACTTCTGAAACATTGTTGAATTCTACTGAACTACATGGCATTATATATGAGAAGATGAGACTCTGTGTGTAACATCTGTTCCACATGCTATGCAGCAAGGTCACTACTCATGCAAGACAGAGTGTTTTTCTTCAGGCAGACACATTATTGATCACCTTTAAAATAAAATAAGAGAAAGGTCATGCATCAGCCTAATTCTGTCATTACTGTTGGGAGTGAGTTCTGCTAACACATAAGAACAAAGCCTAAATTTACTAAAACCATAAAATTAAAGTAAAACTTTTCGTTCCATGATATTAAGAGAAAACATATCTAGAGACAAAGGGCAAACTGCCTGATTCCATGTACTCCAGCTTGTGTTTTCACATTGCTGTCCTATTCAGTATCAGACATATATCTTTCTGTTTGACTTTATAACTCTCATTACTCTCATTCCTATCTCTTTGATACTTGAAGATATTAGAATGAAGGACCTAAAGGTTTTGTTCATCACATCTGATAGGTACCAGAGGCTTCTTTCCCCAGCCATAAAGTAGCCAATTTTATAAGCTGACCATTCACTTGCATGTAATGCTGAGTTTAAGAATACATGGAATTACACCTCCACTTCTCTATTTATTTTCATGGTGTGGTGCTTTATTAAGTACTGGGTCAAATGTAACCATACTTTTTTATTACATCCAGCATTGATTTTATGATATTGAAGTCATACACTAACCCGAATGCAGTTTTGGATGGACTGTATTAACTCATGGCTTTGAATATGTATTCATTTTAAAATTTTCCTACAAGAGAATATAATCTTGGAAGCTAAAAAGTAAGTCACTGTGCCATGAAGTTGTATGGGGGAGTGGAGGTAATGCATTCTTAACCTGTGCACCTGAGAGGGGTGCTTTATCCCTGGGGAAAATGTCCACAGTATTGATTGGGCAGGAGGATGGGGGACCCAGAGNGCACCCGCGAGCCCGCCATGTTGGCATAAGAGCTTTATCCCTGGGGAAAATGTCCACAGTATTGATTGGGCAGGAGGATGGGGGACCCAGAGCTGATCTGATGCTGTGAAGAAGAGAAAAATCTGTATCTTTGCCATGAATTGAATCCTGATTCCCAGGCCATTAAACACTTAATTATTTGTTTATTCTTCCATTTATTGATTAATATATTATCAGTTTTTTATTCAGGCATTCATCCATTTACTGCCTGCTTTGCCATGGTATTAATATTAGACTATGCATTCATTATCAGAAGGAAATTAATTGTTATTTCCAGATTCAGGATTTTTCTTTTTGCACTTTCTCTCTCACATCATGAATTGAATAGAGCGCCAGTAGGAGGTCAGAGCTGTTTCATACATGTTAGAGGAGAGTACAAAACAGAATACAAAATATAAAACATGACAGTGTCTTAATGCATTAATGTTTCTTGCGTAGCTCCATTTGAATTTGAAGTGTATCCTGTTGTGAGGAAGAGTTCAAACATCACCAGAATATCACAGCTACAAGGGAAGAAGTTCTGTCATCCAGGTTATGGTTATGAGCCACAATGGACTAAAGTTATTTCAGAGGTAGATACATTTCAGTTGGATTTGTACAAAGAATGTGAACAATATAACACAATATAACAGCTTATAAATATATGCAGGAAGTTCAGGACTTCAAATATCATCTTCTCACATAAAACATTTGGCCTTACAAATTATGTGTTCTTGTCAGTTTTACTTAGAAAATAAATATCTGTGTGTAAAGAACCAATTTATTCTTAACAAAGATAATTTGAGGTTGGCATTTCTGACACACTATAGATTCATGTTCTTTTGGTGCCTGGTTTCATCTCAAACAGAATACAGATTATCCTTTCTGAAGATATTTATGGTTTTTCTCAGTCCCTCCAGAGAAATGTCGCGATAATAGCTCAATTAGACTACAGCTGATTCCTTCCAAATACTTTTCAGTTCTACTGTCATCCTATTGTCATATGATTGAGACTGTAGACAGGTTTTGGATTAGCAATCAGATCTATTGCACACTTTTACATACAGTTTGTACGTAGTTACAGGTAACTACAGTTCTATCACTAATTCACACACTCTACAGTTTACTACAGCACATACTGAGTCTCCTCAGCCTGTTGGGTCTTCACTGGTTTTCTAGTAATGGTTTCCAAAGATGGACATTCCCCTTCCTCTGGGTTCCAGAAGTGTTCCTGTGCCTCAGCTACCAGCTTCTAACAGCAATAGATGAGGACTGAACTGCAGCAGTCCTCTAACTCACTCACCAACCAACTCACTCCACTCCACTAACTCCCACGTTGGTGACCATCTCATACCAACCTCTTACTCTTCTCACTGCTGTCTCAAGACTCAAGTGTCTCCTCTAAGTCAAAGTTACTTTACAACTGGAGGTTTTTACCACAAATCAGTTCATCTTGGCATCAAACCCATTGAGACTCACGACCAGAGATTTATTTTTCAACTGAACCTTTGTGGTACACTCCTCTAATGGCAGCTGGCCCTCATCATATAGCCTCGGCACGGACAGCACAGAGAACTCTGCCCCCAACAGCTTTTCTGTTGTTGCATTCATGTCTGTTGCGGCCATTACCTACAATGGCTGTTGTTTACAGGGCCATTACCTAGCAACAGCTGTTGTATGGCTGCTTATTTCGTAGCCATTACCTAGTAGTGGACTACATGCCACATTATATAGTCTACCTGCTGACAGCATCATCAAGAAAACAAAAGAAACGTATCTTTCTCATTGTGTTTCAGCCAGCCCAACACCAGATGAAACTATGTATATGGTTCTAGTCATAATATTTCCAGATTTTATTTCTAAATTCAAGTAGATGAAATTAGGCATATTATTTCAGGAACAAATTGTACTATATCCATATTTATTTTTGATTTCTTTAAGGATTTCAAAGAGCACAGTTCTGTTTCTTCTGAACCACAAATTATACAGATGTAAGCAAATAAATTAACCCCACAATATTGTATTGTCTATAACCGCTGCTGGGTAATGGTCTGAAAGCAATGATAAGCATCTGCAAGAGTTAGACTGCACACAATAAATTACTATTGGAATCGGTGTTTTCTACTTCATCCATGGAAAGTGAGTATAAGGAAGACAATTGGAGGGACCTAGTTGTCAAAAGTCAGGCTGTGAAGAGAAGAGTAGGAGGTTGGTGTGAAATAACCACCAGCCTGGGAGTAGTCTTTCGAAAGCTCAGTTCTGCATGGGAGGTTGTGAAGATAGGATTTGAGCGTGGGAGGCTGAAGAATCTCCACTCTTAGAAGCCGTTACTAGGGAATAGCTGATGACACAGCAGACTGGATAAGGGCTTAGCAGGTGCCGTGGTGATTTGTGAATTGTGGAGATTGGCAACAGTGCTTTAATTACTTGTAGTTCTGAGTGGTGTGTCTAAATGGTCAATAAATCCATTCACCAATCCATGCCCAGTATCTAGTCACACATAAATCCTGACAATATTTTAAATGGTTCCCTCATTGAAATCTTGTCTTAAAATTGCATGTGCCTTTCTGTCTATACATGTCTATCATATATAGGATTCAGACATCAGTTTAACAGACACTAATCACCCAGTCTTAATAAAATTTAGTATACATGTAAAGGGCATACCATTGGAGAATAACCCACAGCCCTGCTTTCTAATTCACTGTCATCAACAATTAAAATATGGCTGATTTGCGAACTTCTCTGATGGGAACAACACATCAATATGAAAGGATTCTTGAAGTTCTGAAATAAGTTTTACTGGATAACTTTGACTGTATCAGAGAATGATTGGAATATAAAACTTCTATCTCCATTCTTACATTCAGAAAGTAACACAGAAATATAATAGTTATTGAATAAGAGAACTATTCTCTGCATGGCTAGCTCAAGAACAGCATCAATTACTGGCCTTTTGTTTGGGAAAGGAAGGATTCTCAAACCTTATTTACCAACATATGATAACCCAGTAATAATGGGAGTGGGACACTTGTGAGGATGCAAACAGATGTACTGTGGTCAACATAGTATTTCATTAGGGTCTGAGGAAAATTGTTTAACTTTACCAAGTCCTCAAAACACAAGTTATTCTAAATGAACTCGAAAACTGAATTGTATAAATACAAAGACTGTAAGATGACCATTTCTATGGCCTGTTTTCTTCTATATGTATGGAGTTATTTGCATATTTTCTTCAGATGAAATACATTCTGATTACAATATGTCAGATTTACTCCAGTAGAACCTTAAAATATGCTTTTCTGACTACAAAAAGATGCCTTTATTAGCTCTGATATACCTGACTGGGAATATTGTACAGTGTTTGATTAATCTTCAGTTGACTTCGTAATGTGACATTCTACACATCAGTGAAACACTGTTAACCAGTATAACATCTGATCTGCTAAGAAGTAGTGTGAACCTTAAGTTCCACAGTGATTAGAGGTTCAGATTTCATTGAAAAGTAATTTCTTTCCTTTTGAAAGGCCTAAGTGAGTAAAAGGAAGAGTTTTAAAGCATATGAAATATTTTAGTTGTTTGCATCTGTTCATTTTTTCAGTTACTTTCAAGTAAATCTGTTTAATTTTATTTTTTATTCTGATTTAAGAATTGTTTTATTTGGCAATAATATTCTTTGCATATACCAGCATTATAAATATTTGCAACTTTCATATATATTCAGTAAGTTCACTTTTATGCAGAATATCCATGGTCTTGAAAACAACAACATGAAGAAAATATGCATCAAACTATTAATCTTACTAAAGGTTTCATATTATTGTGCTGTATTTTTATTCTTTTCTGAAGTTACTTATATGTATTCAGACTTTCATTTTAAGAATACCGCCAGTTTGAGACAATTGGAATGGAAGTGACATGTTATTTGCATATTTTATTTAGGTCTTTAAATAGCAAATATAATTACAGTTCATTAATTAACAGTGTCATTGTGTCTGAGTACAAATGAATGAACACAATGAAACTAACAGGCACTTACACATTGTTGTGAAATATGTTATAAGTGCTTATAGGTTTCATTCATATATGACTTTTATGTATGACAACATATGTCAAGATTATATACAAACATTTTAACATATTTTCAACCAGTAAACATTCATGCTTGTAAAAAGGATTTCAGAGGTCCACTGACATCCTTTGTAATAACACTTAACTAGATACATCACAGTTACCTATTTCTGTCATTCATCTGACAAGCAGAAATGTTTCTGAAGAAAGCAGTCTTCTGGGATTTGGCACCGTGTATATGTGGTGTTAACCAACGTTTCGGAGGAACGTATCGCCTCCATCTTCATGGTAGAAGGAAAAAATATAAGAAATTCGCAAGCGAAGAGACTGGTCTGCTTTTACTGGTTCTCACGGTCACTTCGCTTGCAGATTTCTTATATTTTTTCCTTCTACCCTCAAGATGGAGGCGATACATTCCTCCAAAGTGTCGGTTAACACCACATATACACGGTGCCAAATCCAAGAAGACTGCTTTCTTCATAGTCACCGCCGTGAAAGCCTCAAATCTTACACAGAAATGTTTCTATTTAAGCCACTCTCCCTACAGTTTTCAGTGGGATTGAATATGTCTTAATATGTATTTGTATCTAATCTAGTCTCATTAAATTTATCTGCAATGTTAATAGCTTTCCATTCTCAACCAATTTTGTTATAGTACTTCGAAGCTCGGGTTGTAACACCAATATGTGATACAGATGTGACTGCTGCTGAGAATATTTTCAAGTCGTCATCTCAGTTCTTTAAGGCTACTTGCAAGGCTGGGCCTTGGGTTCCAGATCATAAATTGGGCACAAAGCTGAGTATGTCAAACACAATTAGACATTTGTAGGGCCAACAAGATTTTGATCTTAATTCACAATTCTATAAATATGAAAGTGACTTTTGTTTCATCTAAAAAGTTGTTCCTTAATTTTCTACCCCCCAAGATTTATCCATCAGTAATCTTTGTGAGTATTGCCATAATAGCATTTGAATTTCCAAATTCTTGGAGCAAAGCACAGAAACTGTTTCAGTTTTGGCCAGTAGTACAGTTATTACATGATATTATTTACTTATCATAATTGGTGAAGCTTTTTTCCTGTTTCAAATGTTATTTTCATTAGATTCTTAGCACTCTCAGTCCCATACGCACTAACATAACCTTTGTCTTAATACCTCAAACCATGTACAATAAATTTCCACCACATAGTTCTTCTATTAAGAAAGCAGTCTTCTGGGATTTGGCGCCATGTATATGTGGTGTTAACCGACGTTTCGGAGGAACGTATCGTCCCCATCTTCAGGGTTGAAGAAAAAGTATAGGTAAATCTGCAAGCGACAACANCCCAGAAGACTGCTTTCTTCATAGTCACCGCCGTGAAAGCTTCAAATCTTACACAGTTCTTCTATTCTTTGAAATTTGTTTCTCAAGAATTTGAAGAATAAACAATGTGCTAACCTTTATAATATAGAAGACGATTGAAAGTCCTATGGTCAAATTGTAGGGGGTTGTTAAAAACTCCCCAAAAAACGCTTAGAATTTTTTCAAAAGAAGAAAAACTGTGATCATGAATATACAATATACACAGTGGTTCAAAGTCCTAAGGTAAAGGTAAATTTATCCCTGTGCTTAAGTAATTAAGGACTAGGCCATGAAGACATACGGGACAGTGGATATATAGATCACACTTTCTTGACCTTGGCACTAGTTGGAATTAAGTGGTCAGCTTCACGCCCTGGCCACTTTTCCCTTGGTACCCACTGGATAGGAGGCTTGGTGGGCCTCAGAGCCATTCTGGACAAAGTAGAGAAGTGAAAATTCTTGACCCTACTGGGTCCGACTCCTCAGTCGTCCAGCTCATAGCTAGTCATTATACTGACTACACTATCCCAGCTCACTGTTCGAAGTCCTATGGCCAGAAAATGTAAATAAATTTTGTGGGATCTGTCAGGCAGATGTTCAGATTTCATATTAATATAATATATTGATATGCCCCTAGCTATGTAGCTTGTGCTGGTGGGTCATCCAGTTGGGAGTATGCCAGTAATACCCAAACAGCAAGAATAATTTAAAATGATATTATAATCTGATGTGCCTTTGCTTCATTAGACAGCTGTAATTATGATTTCAGTAATGACACTCTTCTTAATGTTCTATAGTGCAAACATACTCCAACCTGTGTAAGTTATGTGACAACCCAATGGATTGCTCAATGAATGACAAGTACTGGGGACCAGTTGGAGCCCTGTACTGCCTGACAGATGGTGCTGGTGATGTCGCATGGGCAAGGCTGCTAGATATTGAGTACCACTTTGGAATTAATGGTGGAGAACCAGTTCATGCACCAGCAGAAGAATACAGCTTCCTATGTGCAGATGACAGGCTGGTTCCTCTGAATAATCCAGAGAATTGTGCCTGGCTGTCACGACCCTGGGCAGCTGTTATTGCAAGAAGGTGTGATACAATAGAAAATGAATATTGAATAAAATGCTGCTTGAAACACACCAGTAATAGACATGCCCAAATTTGAAATTACAGACTAATGAAACAATACTTCATACCATATGATTTTGGCAACCATCATCATATTGCCACATGTTAATGACTAGACAAGGGGGTTTGGATTGATGATTGGATTTATCGAACACTTATAACTCATAACTACAAATAACTATAATAGTCTCATAGATCTATGCACCCTACAAATTACTACTCCAAGCATTACAGGTTCTGTGTCTTCACTAGGCATTGTTAGGTAATGGTTCCCTACAGTGAGGATTCTTCTGCTCTTGTGCTCACATCATTGCAGCTGGCTACCAACAGTCAACTAACTCATGACAGCAACTGCCCCAGTTGCCTTGATGACTGTCACTACATAGCCTTAGCACAGACCTTACAGAAAACATTGTCTGCAAAAGATTCTTTATTGTCACAGACAGTTACTTGCATAGTGATGACTTCCTTGTTTATCATACTGTTCCCATGAAACAGAGCTACTGCTCTGCTACTAGCAGAGCCGTAGCTGGGCACTGACCTTGATATTTGTTGTGTTGTGACAGTTAATAAAGAAGTTGTATATTTTAACACAACAGGATGCATGAAATGAAAATAGACAATGTTTAAGCAATCATGTCACAATATTCTATTATTTATGAAACTCTTCTGGTATTTTCATGTCTGTCACCATCCATTACTCTTAGCAGTTGACAACATTAGTAATTTACAACAGTGTAAGATTTTTATATGTGTGAACACACTGCAGCAAACAGATATCTTTAAATGATATATGTAGTAGAGTTAAGAAACTTTCATGAACTTTTGCTCATTTGAGATTACCTGACAGAACAAGGTGGTCAGTGGTAATGCTCTAGACTTGTACTGGGAAGCTCTTGTTTTGATTCTGAAAGTAACAAAGTAATTCAAGGCAATAGCATTGTGGCTTAACCATGCATTTTACTATGTCCATTAAATGACTGAGATGTTGACAGGAGGGAAGTCTTCCTACCACATATTTTGTCAGTGCCCAGCTTTGGCTGGGCATAGAATGAAAAACTTAGGTTCTGAATGGATGAAGCCAATAGATATTAGCAGGGTCTCAGTCAGACAGATTATGGTCTTAGCACTGGGAATAGGGAACTTTTGAAGTACTGTAATGAAAACAGGTGCATAATGGAGCCAGTGTTGGTCTGAATGCTTGGGGTGACCAGAGGTGGCCCCCTGCCATTTGTTACTCAATATCCATTAAATTAATTCAACTTTAAAAATGTTTTATATAAATGAATTTCTTCTTCCTCCTTAGAAATGGGTCAAAAAATTGTCTCTGATAATGTCTCCTCCACAACTGAATGTATGCCATAAACAACAGAATTTCATTTCTCCTGTATTATACCATTCTGCTGTAATATTTGAGGAAGAGTGTGGATGTTTATTAGTTTCTGATAAGTAAAACTGAGAACTTCATGAGTAGGAAATATGTACTACACAAATGTACTCATATATTTACAGGGAAGCCGCTGAAAGTGTACAGAAAATATTGTCATCTTTGAAGACTGCAGAGCGTTTAACATGGCAATGGGCTCTGGAAGAGCTACTGGAAATACATGCGCAGACCATTGTACCTGTGGATTCAATGATGGTTCCTGATGACTATTTACAGAAAGGTAAATTTCAAATTTCATATTTATTTTGCATTCTACAAATCCATATTAGGAAACCTGTTGGTTACAGAGCAAGTCATACATCTTACACTAAATGTGGAATTAGTTGTCAGTTCCAAATCTTTTTTAATAGACGAACGATAAAAATGCTATGGCATTTGGACCCATTGCTAGGCAATGACTGCAAAATTAACAACTATACAACAGCCATTGCTAAATAATGGCTCTGTAAACAACGGCCATTGCTAGGCAGTTGCTGAGTAGTGATCACGTGGGAACTCCAACAGACATGAATGGAACAACTGCACAGCAACATAGGAACGGTGTTTTCTGCACAGTCCGCGCTGAGATGTTATAAGCAGGACAAGTCAGTCAGGTCAATGGTTAAGCATAAGATAGGCATAAAACATCTGTATTGCAAAGTATCAAAATGCATAGGCAATGGAACTACCACAGCTTTTAAATGCCGTTGACAGTAAAAGGGAAGTAGCAACTATTAGAAGCTGAAGTGCAGTAAGCTATGCATTCTTGGCATTTACCAGATCAGCAGAATTTTGTAAAGAAGGCTTTGGTGACCCAGTAGGATATATGTCAGTACTTATGATTACTTTGTGTGGCTGAGCCAAATAGGTGTCTCGTAGTCACTCTCAAAGAGGTTTCTATTGAATCTCCCTTACAGTTTCTTTGTGTGAGTTCTATTTAATACTGATCACTTCTTATATTCAAATGTATATTCATACAAGTTAAACAAGAAGTTTAATATACATAGGTAATACCTGTTGGTTTTCCGATTTATTAATTGCTCATTATGACAACGAATTCTTCTTTTATTTAGCTCCTGGTTTCTTGAGTGCCAACAGCTTAACGCATTGTGAACCAACTGGCAAAATACGAATCTGCACCAAAAATAGTTCAGAGTTGAATAAATGTGATCTGTTAAAAAGAGCAGCCAAATCTTATGGGATAGAACCTCAGCTGGAATGTATTGCAACTCAAATGGAATCCTGCATGAAAGCAGTACAAGCAGATGCTGCAGACGTGGTGACAACTCAACCAGATGATCTATATGTTGGTTACAGGTATACCATTGTGATAGGCTTGGCAAAATTCCATGTCTTTCTTCTCACAACATATTGTAATGAATCTGATCAATGTGTTGCCAGGCAACGGCTCTGTAAACACAGTACAACCACAACAATAGAGGAAGGTGTGTTTTTTGTTTTGTAGATCCAACCAGTGCGCCAACAGACTGGCTGGATAGCGATGACATGATATGTGTTTATTGTAGGTCCATGTCTGTTCCATGGCTACATAAGTAAATGACAATTGTTCAGAACAGTTACAAGTTATGAGCTACGAATCGTAGTAGAAGCAAAAGTATGTGAACAATCAAGCAAGTCAGTTCTTAGTAGGAGATAGCCATAAGAACACATAAGAAACATAAGACTAAATAAAGCTGAATCAGCATTCACCCAACATATACTAAATAAATAACACCAGTATGGACCAATGACAATAATCATAGAAATGATTGAGAAAGCCATAAAGGAGGCATCATGAATATAAAAGATTTTCATATACTATATCATTTTAATAAGCTCAATAAATTAATAGAAGAACAAAAACACACAAAGGAAAGTAATAACCAATGTAACATGTTCAACCTCATAATACAACATCAGAACACGTCCACATTAATGTCACAAACTCAGGAAGTATAAATTGCGCGACACAGTACATACTAGAACAGTAAAAACAACACAGCATGCTATGAACAAACATAGGATGACAACAAGGTAGGACCAAAAACAACAAACTCCTTAATATATACATATAAAATAGGATTTTTAAAATAATACAATACCCATAATATATTTGCAGAACTACCTTCCCAAGAAAGACAGGCAGCACAAGTTTGGCCCTGTCAAGAAAAACGAAAGGATAAGGGACATGAACCAATTCGGTTAAAGAATTTTAACTTCAATAACAAAAAGGTTTTAAAAAAACTTTAATGCATCAAGGACAGTTGCTGTAGTTGTAAGAAATTTGGATTTTGTATAAAGTATATATTACAAATATTGTATATTTATGTAATTTAAAAATCAAAACACGCAATGTAATAGTAGTTTATAAAAGTATTAATGTTCCCTCATGGTGGTCTATAGGGACCGAAATGTGTTAGAGTGCTAAAAGGCGAAGTAGTAAAAGCTTCAACAGTCACACTGGACAGAATTGTTTTATCATTTGTAATATTGTTAATGTGACGGACCAGAATGAAACAAATCAAAATAATAATCTTACCTGATATTTGTGAGTTAACTCTTTCTATGCCGAATTTTATCTAGAGCTTGTTTTGTTTGTATGTTTTATATTATTTACTATATCGCAATTGGTTTAATCAAGAAAAGGGAGAAGAATTAATATTTTGCTGACATGTGAAACACCAAAGTTATTCAGAGTAGGAGTGCTTGATACTCTGGAATGAAATCATATTTGTAATATGGAACGAGTTAAAGTATAAATACAGTTATAGTGATTTGCTCAGTGGGGGGTGGAGTCCAACTGGGTTCACTCGGCATAGCAGCCACTGATTTGCCTATTGTAGCCTGGCCTGCATGATTATGATGATGGAGAATTTGGTGGAATGAAGATTGGCAGGGGAAACCGAAGTACTCGGAGAAAACCCGCCCCAGCACCACTTTGTCCACCACAAATCCCACTTGACCAGACCCGGGATCGAACCTGGGCCACCACGGTGGGAAGCCAGCGACTAACCACTTGAGCTATGGTGCGGCCCAGTTATAGGGATAGTTGAAATAATATGTTGTGAAGTAACACTCTTTTACTCAAGCATCTTATATCCTCACACATTCCTCCATTTTCACATGTGTGGTATGAGCATTGATATGTTGGTTAGCATCCAAGGAGTAAAACAGACACAGTCACCTGTTACTAAAATGATTTTCAACACTCAGCAGGCTGGAATTGCATTAAGACTCTAGACATGTATTTTTGATGTACAGAGTTTGAATGTTAGGTTACTGGCTATTAATTGAGTTTTTTGTGGCCTTCCTTGGTGTCTCCCTGAGAATTGTAGGATAGGGCATACCTTGAAGTAGGCTGTTACTGGCTATTATTTGTTACTTTTTGGGAGGATTGTAATTTGGGTTCTTTATTTTTTTATAATAAGTTATCTGCAATTTACTTCTTGTATTTATAAAATTTTCACTACCTACCTTTCATGGTCATCTTCCAATATTGTTCAGTGCTGTATATAATAGCAGTTTAAAACGGCATTGTTAAATTACATAAGAATGATGATGCTCAATACCATAACTCACAAAGGACCCAGTCATTTATCAAAAATTATTAAATACTTCCAGGATCTACTTGAATAATATGAGCACATTGACCACTTGAAACTTAAAATTAATTATGGAAATTTTTAATGAGCAGTTTTCATTCAAACCAACTGTATCATGTTTTTAAAATCTGTATTAACAGTACTCCATACATAATCACATGAAGTAATAATTCGTTTCTCTGTGACATGATATAAAAGATTACTGCCCCCAAAACTCATTCAGAATACTTGGTGTGAAGAGATATGTACATAGTAGCTCTTAATTACAGATTCAAAATTAAACACTTATTACAGATAAACCATTGCATATTTAGAAATAAAAAATGAAAGAATATTTGCACATCCAAGCTGCTGTGTGTTTGCAGTCATCTCTGGTGTTACATGCAGTAATATTTAGCCTCAGTAATTTCAATTTTTTCCCCATTCTGGTTCTATACATGTCTTTCCAGTTATATTTATATTTCCATTGTCTTATTTCAGAGAATTTGGTCTGAGGCCATTATTATATGAGTACACAAAGAACTTTAAAAGTATTCATAGATTTGCAGCAGTAGTACAAATGAATTCAACAATAAAGCACATTAATGATCTAAAGGGCAAAAGGGCATGTTTCTCTGTTTATAATGGAGCTGGTGAGTAAGAAAAATCTCAACTTTTCAGACTATGATTAATGCATAGCAGTTTATTCTTAACTCCTTCATGACTAGTTAGGAAACTTCTTAGTAAAAATAGACGTGAACAAAATTGTTCAGTGTTCAGTTGTGCCTGTTTGTATACTAGTGAGTGAAATGGCCAAATGGCAGAGGCCCTTAGAGTTAGATGTGTTGATTGAGATATGCAGTAATAAAAGCAGTGGTGACTGCAGTCACATAACAGATGACTATCAAGGCATTGGTGGAAGAAATTGGGAGAGCAGAATGCATTGGTTTATGCAGGGTTCAGAGGGGCCAGGCCTCATCAACATGTAATACCTCAATATATAAAAAATAGTTTTATTAATTTAAATTTTGTTTTCAGTTAGCATGGCACAATAGTAGTTTAATAGATTTATAATTTGTTTACATTTTGTGCAGCAAGCACACAGCAAGCTTCTGCGGCCTTCTTGCATGTCTTATTCTTCAGCTCTAAATGCAAAGTGAAATGTTCCTCTGGAATGTCAGGCTACCTTCAGACTACATGATATTACAACCCAGAAGACTATTCTCTTCATGAGAACTTGAAATTTAAAGGCATCATTTTTGTCATAATGCTGCCTTTAAATTTAGTGCAGAAACTAAAAATCTGAATTACGATTAGGAATGTCCTTAATCTTGAAGTTCACGTGGAATAATGTGTGATATTTATTTATCTACATCATGATCTTGTTCCTTTTTCTTGAAACATTATTAATTTCACATGAGTTGGACTTGGTCACTTCTGAAACTGATTTAAATTTAAGTATGTATCTGGAATTTTTGTGTTGTAGGTTGGAATTCCATATTTAGTGTTCTTAGGAATAAGACCTTTGTTTGTCCCACCTGCTCCAGCACTACAGCATTAGGAGAATTCTTCTCAGCAAGTTGTGTGCCTGGTATCAACAAATCTCAGAACTTCCCTTCAAACTTGAAAGCCTTGTGTGAAAATAGTAAGTTTGCACAATTAAACTGGATAATGCAGTGTAATACAGTATGCCAAATTTACTGTTCATAACTAGTGGTAATATTTTGTTTGTTTTGAATGAAGTGTGCATATTTACTGGGAATATATTTCTTGAAGAAAGCAGTCTTCTGGGATTTGGCACCGTGTATATGTGGTGTTAATGGTGCCAAATCCCAGAAGACTGCTTTCTTCATAGTCACCGTTGTGAAAGCCTCAAATCTTACACAATATATTTCTTAATTGTATCCATGGTGCAGCTACATGTAACAACCCAATACAGACTATTCTGTCACATCAGCTAGTAGCACCAGGGAGGCAGTAAAGATTTATGAATTCCAAGTATGTCCAGAGCTTAAATTTGAATAGTGAAAGATTCTTCAACTTAAAATAAAAGACTTTCAGTGCATTATAATTATGAGTCAACTATTTTTTGTGCAAAGACTACACACAGCAATTCCATATATGATGCTAGGAATAAAAATGATGACTAAGAACTCTCCTTATATTATTTTCTAGATCTCTACAGTGGTGAATCTGGTGCATTTCGGTGCCTGGCAGGTGGTAAGGGTGAAGTGGCTTTCATTGAACTAAACACAATAAAAGAAAATACAGGTATTTCCAAAAGTGAAATTTCTTACCTGTCATATATCTGTTAGATTTCTACTTGATCTTAATAGTGGTGCAACTTTTTAACAACTAAACAACTAGGTGCTTAGCATGGACAATTTGTTGATATACTGGCAGTTAAAATACTCTCATGGTAGATTTCTGTAGTTAATATAAATTACATTTTGTGTATTTGGAATAAGTTTAAAGTTTCTCAGATGGATATTCTCTATGTGTAATTCCAAATAATAATACAATAACACATAAATAAATGATTGAAGATTTCTTTACTGGAATTTGCTGAAATAAGAATTTGGTGTAATGTTAGATTACTATGCAAGTTCAGATTATTAGGTTAGTACCAGTAACTACTTACTTCAGAAAGAGTACCATACATATAGCCAAAAAATTACACTGTGTGTGTGCCAAAATTTAACTTTGTGACAATAAATTTCGTTTGTGTCACTTCACTGATAAATCTCCCATTACTCAACACCACAATTTTACAATCCAAGAATGACAGATTTCAGTTTCAAGTAAGCATACTGGTGATGGCTTCATAAGGATTCTTTGATTGAAAATTACAAGATAGCCTGTCAAAGAAAGACTTATTTTCTGTTGTTACTAATGAATCATCCACAAGCCCCGTGATATTAAAAAAATCTATTCAACATCACTGAAACTACCATTGGATTCCATGTTGAGTCAGCTTAGTTCAAGTCATATTACAACAACCTGTCACTCAAAGGTCTGCTATGAATAAATAAATAACATATAAAATTAATTCTTAAAATGTTGCTTGTTTATCTCAAGATATTCTGATACTGGCATTCACAGACAATATAAAAATTTGACATCAAATCTGGGCAGTCACAATTTACCAGAGAAAATAGCAAACTAAATTATTACAAGTCTGAAAACAATTTGAAGTCATTTTCCCCTTCCCCCCATATTTCTGTTTAGCAAGGAGTTACATAGTTAATAATTGTCCCATAACTGGATATGTACAATCCGCGAGACAGTGGAGATCTTTCAGTTGATAAATCACGGTGATATTTGTAACAGTTTCACATGTTGCCACATGTCTACTCCATCTACTTTTGTTCCTTTGTAAATGTTACTATAACTAGTAAAGCGAAGTCTATATGAGTAGTGATCTATAAGACTGATTTTCCTTAGAGTTGCTCCTGTTTGCCATAACAGCAGGAAAAGTTTTCTTTGAAGTTTTATTGAGGTGATGTTAATCACAAGTTTGACTATGGGATAATAAAGCTGTTAAATCTGTAGACACACATTAATTAATGCCAAAGAATGGTCAGTCTTGGCTCATGGTATCTCAGGCATTTGGAGTTTTATCTTGGAATTGAATGATGGATAAGTTAATCACGGGGTTGTTGCTAAATATCTGATATCTATATTACTGTTCTCAGATGGAGCCAATAGTGAACCATGGGCCGTGGATCTGAAATCTAACCATTTCAGAGCCCTCTGCCTTGATGATCAGAGCGAAGAATGCTATCTTAGCTGGGCAACCCCAGGACAAGTAAGAATTATTTTAGTTCCTAGGTGAAAGGCAAATTGTGATGTTTTTCTATATGTATGCTGTTATCTGTTATAATATAATTTCCAGAAATTATTGGAGAAGTTGGATTTGAATAAGAAACTAGATTCTATCTTCTTCTTGCTGTGGAAAGCATCTCAGTACAATGCACAGAACATGGACCAAAGCGCTCAGTACTGTTAGTTGAATTATTGTAGGTATGATTATTATTTATTTACCTTTTTGGACAGAACCAAGTAACGTGCACACAGCATTTGGGCAACTGCCACTTCTGTCCCCTTAAATTCTTGAATGAAAGCTCAATTTATCTGATGACTACAGCATAAATTGGTTACCTTCTGTTTACTATTTGTCACTTCCTCTCCCAGAACTGAGTGTTTCATTGAGACTGTGATTTCAGGCCATGGGCATAACTGCTGAATGCATTGAAAAATATATTGCTGTTGTGTGAAAGTGACTACACCATGGGTTCTGGTAGGAAATGGACTTATTTGGCACTAGTTCCTTTTATTCATAACTGTCTGCAAGAATTTAGTGGGTTGCAGTTGGCCATTCTACTCCTCCTGCTTGCTTCTTTCTCTAGCACTTGACCTTCACTATCTTCATCATCTTCACTGTTGTACCAAGGTAACTGGCTAATTAGGAGTGGCCTCAAACCAGAACCAGAACAATGGACTTGCTTGACATGTTGCTTTATATAGCCTCACAGTGAACCACATAGAAAACATGATTCTCAACAGTAACTTTAACTACTGTGTAAATTTGTCTGTTGATCACAACTATTCTACATTTCCAGTAAATAACTGATAGGCTCGAATGTTGATAAAATCATTTAGTTTATTAAGATGTTATTTATTGGTGCATGTTTCAGGCATTTATAAACAGTTAAATGCATCTACCTTCATTATTGGGCTGTGTCACAATGGATCCATTGCTATTAGTCTTGTCATGCACAAGTTTTTACATAGGATTGTGGTATTTAAATATATTGAAAAACTTATGTAATGTTGTGTTGTGGTCTACCCGTGCTGGAGTTGGATATGATGGATCAGTCAAGCGCAGTTGGATAAACCATCATACAGTGGTGATGAGAATCTGCTGGAAGTAAAGCTTGAAACAAGGTGTTTAGTACCCTTCACACAAAAAGATATACAATTATTACAACAGGTTTTCAGCAGAAGGCCATTCACTGTGGCCGACTCCCAATAGCACAGAGCGCCGTCCACAAGGACTAAGCTTTGTGTCAGATCAGAGAGAGCGACTGGAAAGTGCCGCTGATGCAGTATTTATACTCGTTCAGGGCGTTTTCCTGTGATGTGTCTACTGGCTTTCCATGTCTTCTTATTCCAAAGGTCTTTCAAAACATTCCATATTTTGTAATGTTCTATCATACTTGTGTATTTCTTCCTATCTTGGGCCTTTACCGATGTTTGCCTAAAATGGCTTGAGGAAGCTTTTGTCCAAGGTTCCATCCGCGTTCTTAGGTAAAAAACAAGATAATTTTAGTAGCATGAGCAAACAGCATCTGTGAAAGTCCGAGTTATAATATTTCATTTGTACAGTGCTTGTCAAAAGTTTCTACTTAATTTCATATATAATTCACCATTAATTATCCCACAATTAATATAATTGCACCTGTACAGAACTATTAGGCTTATTTTGGACTCTATCCATCGTCTGGTATGCATAAGACAAAAAACCACGTTTTGGAGACTGGATCTGTCTCCGTCCTCAGGTGGATGGGGTAGGATAGACCAACTCAGTTGGGCCTGTCAGAAAGAGCTAGTCTCAATCACTTGACCTATATAATATACCAGATGATGGATAGAGTCCAAAATAAGGCTAATAGTTCTGTACAGCACACATCATCATCAGAATTCCTTCAAATATAATTGCACCTGTACACAACAGTAAATTAATAAAGCTTATTTTAAAATTATTGTTATTTTTCTAAAAATTAACCTATTATATATATATGATTTTTTATTGGTGGAATGGAGTAGGGAGAATGATGTGTGTGTGTGTGTGTGTGTCTGTATATGTTATGTGTTTTTGAACTTTTGTCCTTTATGGGAACGTGGGTCTTATACGAGTCTGCATTATTGGTGCTAATGGTTGCATGTGTGTTGTTTTGGGTGGAAATGGTGTATTTCAAATTTGTTATCCTTTGGTAAAATGTTGAACATTATGCGAATATGCACTGTTAAAACTGTTGTGATAGATGGACAAATTTACATAGTATTGACATACACAACAGGATGCAATATATATTAAGTGCTTTGACTGTTGAGACTGGTGTGGATTTGCATTTCTGTTGTCTAGAAAATGGATGACTCTGCAATGTTTCTGTGGCTCCAGGACTCTGAAGTTACAGATTTTTGGCATCCCATCATAGTACTAATTACCTTTAAACATATGAAGTGCATAAGTGTGTCTGATATGAAATCAGTAGGCTTGAAAGCAGCCAAACTGCATACGTGGAATTTCTGCTAAAAGAAGTGCATTTTACATGAAAGTCTTAACAGTCTGTCCACTGTCCAAAATGTCTAGAGCTTTCTTCTTCTACTGACTGTGAGAATACAATGTATTCAGACGTAGTATGATATATAATGTCGTATACCAGCTGATTACATTCTCCTGCATTGAAATTTAATTTTCTTTCTGCACATATATAAAGATATGAGATCCTTTATAGCTATTTTAAACAATTCATATAATAATAATAATAATAATAATAATAATTTTATTAAAAGTTTAGGATCTTTCAATGGAGATAAAATGGTCAGAACATGAAGTTGAATACCATTCTTATGTAGTGCTGGTGCTGAGAATACATGGAGTTTCAGCTCCATATGCTGTAATAGCACTGGAAAATTCAGTTTACATTTTACTTCTAACAGTCACCAGCTAGGAACTGAGTTATTGTGGTCAGTCTGTACCATACATAAAAAACACACGAGGGCAGCAAACTAAAGCAAAACAAAAATATTTTACTGGAACTGTAACAATGTTATGACCTGATATAAGATAATGCTGTACACGCTTATTAAAAGTGTAATTAAGTAAAAATTAGATACAGCAGGACTCCAGAAGTTTGGTTATCTGGAGAGAAAATTCATGAGAAGAGAAGCCATTTATCATATGCATAAAATTTTCACCCATTGGTATCAGTGTATCTCTCCATCTGGTTTGTAGGGAACCATAACTAATTCTTCATGCTGAAGAAAGTGGCGTTAGTTGGCACTAAAGGAAATGCTTCAAAAGTACCAAAGTGACAGGAATTTCTAAATGATGTTAATATTACGTGAGATGTGAGGTTCTCATAGTGGTGACTATGAAGTGTACTATTCTTCTGTGATGTGATGCTGTGCAGACTGGTAGTAGTGAATCTCTTCCTGCTTGCTCGGCTTACTCCTCGAACCTGAAGATGGAAGGAGAACCCTTCTCCAAATGTCAGTGAACTTCTACCAGATTACATGGTATTACATTCCAAAACAGAGTACTGTTATAAAGTAATGATAATATTAAGTCTGATAGTTTCTCACTGGTTTGTTGTGTGGTTTTTGTTTCTTTGGAGTAGCTTCTGCTGATATAAGACTTTTTTATATTATTTCAGGTTTTAATAAGAGGCAATACAACAGACTTGAAAAAAACTGAGATTTCTATAGCTCTAATGGAACTGGGAAATATGTTTGGCAAATACCGGAAGACACCAACAGCAGAGTTTCAGATGTTTGCACCATTTGATAATGAGAACAATGTGTTATTTCAAGTAAGCTCTATGAACAAATGTTCAATTAAAGTATGAGGTCATACTAGAACACCGTATGTCACATATCAGTGTGATGAGAGGATTTGCTGTATGGATATCTCGGTATCATTCAAAAGATCTATAGACCTCTTTTCTTAAATTGAAGGAATGACTGTACCATTATTAAAATTACGGTGTTCGTCAGTGGCAACAGAAAAGTTAAGAAACTCAACAATTCTACAAAAAATTAAGAGAAGAAAAGACACTTCTGTGCTTTCAACAGACACTTAAGGTCATAAATACTGGATGTGTCACAATGTGATGCATATGGACATACTCTTTGCATTGTTAGTGTTATGCAGACTGAATATGTTTGTTTTATAATTCTTCAAAAATGCAGCAAAGTTAAAATATTTTGGAATGATAATAACAAATCAAAATTTCATTTTAGGAATGCTTACTAGTATTCAGTCCAGAATCTTCTGTTTTTCTCTCTCCTATCTTAAAACATGAGGATTATAATATACAGAACTGTAATTTTATTTTGTATGGGTTTGTAAATTCTTCTCTTACTCTTATGGAAAAACGCAGATTGAGGATATTTGAGAATATTTGGATTTGGATCTAGGAGACTGAAATTAACGGGCTGCTGGAGAAAATTAAAACCTCAAACTGCTTCATAATTTGAAACCTATTTGGGTGCTGAAATGAAAGATGATGAGATTGGAGGTGCATGTAGTACATATGGAATGACTGAGAAATGGATACAAACTTTCTGTCATAAGACCTGAAAAAGCAGACCAATTTGGAGACCTACACATTGATGGGAGCATAATAATAAGCTAGATCTTAAATACATACTGTTTGAGGACACAGAATGCATTCATTTGACATAACATAGCCCAAAGCAGTGGGCTTTTGTGAACATAATAATGGACCTTTGGGTTCCATACTTGAACTGTGCTACAAGCCAGAAGGTTGCAGGTTCAATTCCTGATAAGGTCATCGGATATTTCAATTGACCTAATCCTTCCAGAAACACAATGACCCTGGGATCTATTCAGCCTCCAAGAGAAATGAGTACTGGGAATCTTCCTGGGGGGTAAATGGCGGCTGGCACCTAAGGCTGACCTCTCTGCAATCTGTGAACCGATTGTCTAGAAAATGTGGAGCCTCAAAGTCTCACAGCCCTATGGGTCTCCACAGCCTGTTACAGGGATAATCTCGCTGTTACCTTTTTGGGTTCCATACTTGCTAAGCTGCTGTGAAATTCACAAAAAGGAATCTATTTCATATACCTACAATCACAAGGTGACTGTATTGTGTTACTGAATAACAAAACCAGTAACTGTATCATAAAGCAGAAGAAATAGCTGCTTTCTACAATGTGGCCTATGATAAAGTGAAGTGGGACACAATACTTGAAATTTTAATTTCCATTAATTCCAATATACTGATAGAAGTGGGTTAGATACTATATTTTGAAGTACATATAAACCAGACAAAAATGGCTGTCTCCTTGATGTTTTCCTACCCATCACCGCCCAATATTGCATGTTGCAGCTTACTGCTCAGACCAAAATCAGTGCCTGATAAACTGACATTATCTTTTTCTCCTAATCTTCTCTAACTGTTACAGTATCACACATGAAATATATTGTCTGAAATAATTTTAAACAAAAATTTATGAATTTCAGATGTACCTGCAATATTCTGAATTGGAATCTCAATTAAATGTATTTCCCATCTGGTATAGCTGTGACATGAATTTCAGATTTAAAATTATGTTCCTGAATTAATTCAGTCATATATGTAATTTGATAAAACGCTTTGATTATATGTATTTCTTGTTTTGAACACTGTTTTCAGGATGTGACATACCGTTTTGAGGAATTTGCATCACTTCAAGAGGTTCATGACAATAAAGCCATGGTGTATAACTATGAAAGAATGATTGAGGATCTATCACAATGTTCATCTGCACAAACTGTGAGGATTTCATCTATCACGTTGCTGCCACTTGTATTCCTGTATTTTATCTCAGTCTGAATAAGAACATAACTATCTTACAAACTCAGGGATTTTTTTATCAATGATTTATAGCTTTGTGATAATAAGTGAAACTGTTTTATATATACTATGGTAAGAATGCTAGTATGATGAATCATACAGGGTTCTAGTACATGACCCATCTCTGTTTTTGTGACAAATATGTATAAATATAATTGAGAATCAAAATAGATGTGAAGAAATTACTGCAGAAACCTAATCCATAATAATATGAATGTAGGATTTGAGGTTCTCACAGTAGTTGTTATAAAAGTTCTGTCTTTTGAGATATTACCATGTAGTCCACTTGCTGCCTGCTACATACTGATTTCTCGCTTGTCTTATATGTCAATCCTGAAGACAGAAGCAATACATTATTACTCTGAAACTTCACCAGACTATATGGTGTTATGTCCCAGAAGACAGAATTATTCAGCTAAATGAAACATTCTGACATGTTACTTAAATCCATTAGATCATGACACCATCACTCCATTTTACATATGTAAATTCTTTACTGTCATTTTATATTTTATTTACAAGGTATACACTTCATTTCCATACAGCTCACTATACTAATATTGTCTGATGTATCATTGTTAAGTCCATTATAATTGTGAAGATAATATGTTCCAAGAAGTAGATGTCTATGATGTGTTTTTGTAGGCAAGTTACATTTCAAATTCTGTAGATAAATTGAAGCCAGAATAATGGAGCCAGAAGATATCATTTGCTGCTAGGTAACGGCTCAATACTCACGCAAGATCTGAAGCTGTATTTTCTATGTGGTCCATGCTGAGGCTATACAAGGACACCAGCCAGTTAGTAGTCAGTTGAGAGTTAGTTATCACCATGAGTTAATTGTGAGACAGTCACCAGCCAGTAAGGATTTGAGTATCTAAGAGGAGCAATCTACACTGTTAGCAGCCGTTACGAGGCAATGATTGGGGAAGATGTAGAAAGCATTATATGTCCTGCAGTACAGTGATCTGTAGAGGGTGTAGATCCATGAAACTATTGTAGTTAGCTTTTATGACAAGTTATGAGTTGAATAAATTCCAATTACCAACCCCAATCCCATGTTCAGTCACTAACACATGACAGTATATATATATAATCATGAACTTGTATACAGGTATTACAAATTATAAACATCTTAATACCAGCACATATATTTTTTGACCCTGAAGCCCATCATCAGGGCACAATATATGTATTCTAATGAAACTGCTTAGGGACCAGTGGAGGGCTCTCGTGAACATAGTAATGAACCTTCGGGTTCCATAAAATGCTGGGAAATTGAGTAGCTGCACAATTGGCGGCTCCTTCAGAAGGGCTCAGTTCCATGAGTAAGTAAGTAAATGAAACTGCTATTAGATGCTTAAAGTTGTTAATATTGACCAATATATTGGTATGTTTTGTACTGGACTTAAATTTAAAATTTAAAACTTGTGTGTAGAATTAGAGAATTATAAAATTGCTGATACTAGTCACCATTACTGCACCTGGTTCATATGCCAAGGTAGTAGTTCCGGGGTCTATTTGCCCATATGTTGCACTTCATGCAGTGTCTCATGTTATCTACTGTTGTGAACATCTGGTTGGCTATCATAATATCATGTTAGTCAAATTCATTTGTATGCATTGATGTTTCACTACGTCTAACAGTGGTTTCATTAAAATACGTATGTAGAGCCTGATAATGGCCTTTAAGTTTATGAAATGTAGCTACTAATACTAAGATATTGTATATCATTTCTAATAATCATACATAAGGTTGTGTGTGTTGGTACATATATGTACACTGATTCATAACAACATAAAATAATGCTCAAGTACTATATTTTAGATTAGCTGAACACTAAAGAGCCCTAACTGGAAATAACATTGATAAATCATCCCCAATTCCTGCTTCTATAACATGTCCAGGTCCAATGGGGCCAACACCAGCAGGTGATCCAGTGAGAATGAGGTCACCAGGTTCCAGAGTCATATATTGAGATATATGACTGATAAGTGATTCAATGGGGAAAACCATATCTGAAGTGGTTTCATTTTGTCGCATTTCACCATTTACTTTACACCAAATTTGTACATTATTAGGATCCTTTATCTCTTCACAGCTAACAAACCGACTTACTGGGCACGCTGTGTCAAATCCCTTGCCCAATGTCCATGGTAAGCCTTTCTCTCTTATTTCTTTCTGTAAGAAAATAGTTCAGACAATTTAATTTATTCTTATATTCAAGTAGATCCAATTACATGGTGAGAAACAAGTTCACACACCACTGGATATAGAATGTGTCAAAATTCAAAACAAATGTTCCAACCAATCACTGGAACAAGTCAAAATAACACAGACAACACAGTCACTAAACATAATAAAATGTGACTACAATAAGACTTAAATACTTATATCATGACACCATCACTCCATTTCACATATGCAAATTCTTTAAAAAAGGAATGACATAAGAAGATAAACATATCTTATACTATTACAGAAAGAAATGTAGTGAGCAACACATAAATCGTAGGAAGGTATAATTAAATGACCTTTATAAATAACTGTTACATTCTTCATGTATACAGAGGTCATTTCATCTTGTAGGCATAAAGGAACCAACTTCTGATATAGTGAACTAGTGTTGCCAACCCTATAATACAAATGCAACTCACAAGTATCAATTAGCACATCACTTATCAGCTGCATATTTTTCTGATATTTTCTTAAATTAATGTTTGTGTATCTTCATTAGGCAACATTCCCTCCTGGGGGAGGGATGCAATACCATAGTGTTGTGTAGGCACTGTCAGTCTGGGTATCACCGAACTTAACTTCTGAATCAATTAAGAGATGGTCAGAACATTATATATGAATGTTATTCCACTGAAAGCCAGCTGAACACCATGTATTCTAATTTCCTAATATCGGTAACAATGCGGTGGCAGCTTAAGGATGTGAGATGGGAATGATTCTATTACCACTCAAGTTAGTTGAAATTAAGCTGGTGCATCAGACCACTGTACATCCAAATGTGCAGTGGGGCAAAGCCTGATAGATTACATTATTTCAGGTTAGATTAGGCTGGTTGGTGAATCACATTATTCTGCATCTATCTTGCTTTTCATATATTTGAAAATATTCAGATTTATGAATCTGTAGCTTTTCTACTATTGAATGTTTCTGAAAAGTTTGAAATTATCCAACTTGGATAATTCTATTAATTTCTAATAATAATAATAAATTTCTAATAATTTTTTTAAAATAAATTTACTCACACACATATGACTGCAACCCAGCATGTGAATTCACTTCATAATGTCCGAACATTTGCCTACTCTTGTCAGGGGAGTGCCAGCTTACATCAGGTTATAATAGGTCAGGCTGGAGTAGAGTGATTCAGCTTTGCACCCTGCTGGATGGATTTGGTCATTCAGATATGCTGAGAACTGTTCAAGAGTTGTATATTGTGTTTTGACTGTATGTGTTAAATGTTTTCTAGACTTAGTTGTGACAACTGTAAGGCAATTATATGGCAGTTACCAACATACTGTGGCATGTAGGCCCATTACTAGACGATGACCGCAAAATAACTTTACAACAGCCATTGCTAAGTAACAGCTCTCCAAACAAGCAGGTTTCCATGGCAACAAGAGAATACAGCAAGAGGTGTTTTCTATGTGTCCCTGTCGAGATGTTATCAGCAGGACCATTTAGCAGTTGCAGCTGGAGAACTGCTATAGTTCAGTTGTTGTGAGCTGTTGCTGTTAGAAGTTGGTAGCTGAGGCCAGGGACAGTTCAGGAACCAACGGAGAGGAAACATCCACTGTTGGAAGCAGCTTCCAAGCAATGGTAGTGAAGATGAGACTATGTACACATTGGTGTGTGTGTATGTGCGCGAGCGTGCGTGTGCATGGGAGAGAGAGAACTGTAAAGTGTGGTCATGCACTGTATCAAAGAGCACAATAAATCTGGTCATCAATCCAAAACCCATTTATAGTCCCCCTGCTTACATGTTACAATATTCACATGCCAGCGTACACTTTGTACTAACATATGTGTTTATACTGTTGTGTGCCAAAAAGATTCTTTTGAAGATCAGAGGTATATCATGTGTTTTGAATTAAGTCCACTCAACCTTGATGTAGATATAAAAGCACATAGTTTACACAATACAATATATAGATTAGACAGAAAATTATAAAATATAATTAGATTGATAATATTAATGTTAACATGTCCTCCAGTTTACATATGCAGTTTGTACAAGTATACTGTGCATTTAATGACTGAGGGGTTCAGAAAGCCCCTTGGTCAATTTTCACTCATACTACAGATATACAAGTGGTTACTCCCTTGGTCTTTTCCTATAAATGTATCTTAGAAATTAAAGCTAATATTGACAAAAACTGTGCTTAGTCAACTAAGTTTAGTATCATTTGTTCATGTTAGATGAGGTGCATGTTTTAGCTTAAAACTTGAAGAAATAACAAAATCTAAACTGCACATCCTTAAAAATATCATACCATTAGTCTGACTTCTGTTAGGTCCAGAGCTAGGCAATAACCTCCCACATACTGTAGGCTTTGTGATTCAGGGATATTCTTACATCTCTGTCCGATGATTACTCCCAATTCAACTTCTTCATGCACTACAAATCCATGTGGAATCTGTAAGATATGATTTTGGGATTATATCCACGAATCCTGTTGATGGTATGACTGATGGGTACATGAAGCGGAAGGAGACAGATGCACAGGATGGTGATGGACATGTAAATGAAGAGCAGGTTGGGGGAATTTTGATGTGTGATAAACAGATAGAAACCCAAGTAAAACGACCCCGAAATGTTCCAAAGACAAGGAACCTGAATTTTTTATGGAAATAACAAGGGAAAACATAAGTAACAGTTTAAGTAAATGGGAAGCGAGAGGGAATTTAAAAGATAATATATTTACAATCTTACACCATAATGTTTAGAGTCTATGGAATAAGCGCATGGAATTAACAGTACTTTTAAATTCTAGCTTGTAGGATGTAAATATACTGTGCTTTACAGAACATTGGTTGATGAATTCTCACTAACCCTGGTAGAAACAGATAAGTTTAAACTGGTTAGTAAATTTTGTAGAAAACAAAGTAAGAGTGGTGGATCATGTATATTTGTAAACGAAGAGTTGAATGTAAGGGAAGTCATGTTTTTAAATGAATTGAGTAATGAGAAAACTTTTGAGATATCAGGTGTGGAAATTGAAAAATTTAAATGGGTATTGATATATATTTACAGATCACCTCAAGGTGATGTGAAAATATTTTTGAAGAAACTTGAATCTCTCATTGAGAGAATACACAAAAACGAGAACAAATTAATAATCTGTGGAGACTGGAATATAAACCTGCTCCAGGAAAATGAGCAGGTCCAGTCATTGAAAAATTTGTTAGTATCTTATGATTTAATAAATATAGTCTCCAGTCCAAGAAGAGTTACTAGTAGCTCGGAATCACTGTTAGATATGTTGGTGTTAAACAGACAGTTTAACAAGAATTACATTGAGATTATAATTATGGGATATTCGGATCATTTGGCCCAGATTTTATGGGTATTAATAGGCAAAGGTAATAATGAGAGAAAAAAAGCTTTAAAAAGAAAGTATACCAAGGACAATATTGATAAATTTATAACTTTGTTGACTAGTGAATCTTGGGGAGAAATATATGTGGAAAGGTGTGTAAATGAGACATACAAGCAATTTATAAGAAAATTCTTAGACTATTTTAATCAAGTATTTCCACTGAAACCAGTAATAAAGAGAAATACTAAGAATAAGAAATGGATATCAAAAGGAATAAGAATATCTTGCCAGAAAATGAGGTTTTTAAATGATTTAAAACGGAGGATAGCTTTGCCAATCAAAATAGTAAACTATATCAGTAGTTATCAAAGGATATATAAAAGAGTCATTTTAGAAGCAAAAAAGAGACAAAATGATAAATGGATAGAAGGGGCATCTAACCCAAATAAAATAGTATGGCAGATAATAAATAAAAGAATGGGCAAAGTAGGAAAGGATGACCAGGAGATTCAGTTACAAGGATATAACAGGAAAATATTCCACCCCCAGGAGGTGGCTGACACATTGAACTCATATTTTATAGACAAAGTGGAACTCATGGAGAAAAACAAGAGTAAGACTAAAGAAATATGGTTAAAAAAGTTGTAACAGGAAACCCAAATTCAGTGTATTTTTGGCCAATCTTGGAAAAAGAAATTGTCATAGAAGCATCTAAATTAAAGGGCTCAGTGGGAGCTGATGGAATCCCAGATTTTCTTATAAAAATATGCATCACAAGTATAAGAAAACCACTCAATTTTATATTTAATGAATCAATAAATCAAGGGATTTTCCCTGATTTATTGAAAATTGCAAAGATCAAGCCAGTTTACAAAAGAGCAAACATGACGCGAGTAACTATAGACCTATATTGGTGCTATCAGTATTCTCAAAGCTCTTGGAAAAAATAGTGTACAATAGACTGGTGTCCTTTACAGCTAAATTTAAAATATTAACTGAAAAACAATATGGATTCCAAAAAGATAAATCAACAATATCAGCGTGTCAGTCGTTTATCGGGAAGATACAAGAAGCTTTGGATAAGAAATTACTACCAGTGGGTATTTTCTTTGATTTAACAAAGGCTTATGATGTTATTAACCACAATATTTTGTTAGAAAAATTAGAGCATTATGGGATAAGAGGGCAAATTAATGTCTGGCTAAAATCATGTCTAACACTGAGGGCACAATATGTGGAATTAATTTCTAAGGGCAACAGGGACTGCATGACTCATTTTATTTAAAAAAATAAGGAATCTAAATGTAGGGATTCCACAAGGGTCAACCTTGGGCCTGTTTTTGTTCTTGATTTACATAAATGACCTACCCCTCCATATAACTTATGGGGAAGTGGTGCTATTTGCAGATGATATTAGTATACTGGTAATAGAAAAGAACAAAAATATTCTTAAAGACAAAATAGATAAGGTAATGAAGCAACTCGAATCTTGGTTTTCAATGAATAATATGGTAATAAATAATGAGAAGACTACAGCAATGTATTTCCATATGAATAAACTACAACATAGCACTGAGCCAGTAATTACCTTTAAAAATATAATAATTAATTATACAGCACAGTTTAGGTTTCTTGGTATTAATTTAACCCACAAATTAAAATGAAATATTCATATTCAGTTGGTCTGCACAAAGCTCAGTAAGGTGTGTTACATTATTAAAGCTTTGAAATGCGAAGTAAGCCAATATGTCCTTAGGAATGTGTACTTTGCTAAATTCCAATCACAAATAAGTTATGGTTTGATATATTTTTTTGGGGGGGGGAGTGAAAGTGGTTCCAGTAACGGTTGCATTAGTACATTCTCATGTCCTTCTATTTTGTTCAGGTGCTTTCCTCTTTTATAACTTCCTTCAGTAGCGGCACTTTCAGGTCTTCATGGAGTGTTATATTGGAAACATACCATTGGGCGTTAGTAATCATACGTAATATCTTTGACTGACATCTCTGGATTATGGAAATGTTGGTTTTGCTAGCACATCCCCATATTTCCACTCCATATACCCAAATTCGTTTTATTATTGTTTTGTAAAGCAAAACCTTGTTGTCTAATGAGAGTTTCGACTTTCTTCCAATTAACCAATGCATATCCTTGATTTTTAAATCAGCCTGTTTGCGTTTTTTAGTAATGTGTTCCTTCCAGGTTAGATTATTGTCTAGATGAATACCTAAGTATTTTATGCCGGGTGATTCAGGTATTTGTATGTTATTAAAGAAAACTGCAGAACATTGTTCTCTTCTTAGACTGAAGTTTACTTGCACTGACTTGGTTTCGTTGATTTTTATTTTCCATGTATTTGTCCACTCTTGTATTTGATTTAGATGATTTTCCAAAGTGAAGGTAGCTATTGCTGGATCTGTGTTGGCCGAGAGGATCATGGTATCATCCGCAAATGTGCCCATTGTTGTGTTGGCTTTGACTGGTAGGTCTGCTGTATACAGTAAATACAATAGTGGGCCTAAGACACTGCCTTGTGGTGCACCTGATTTTATTGCAAAATTGTTGCATATGCTATCACTGATTCTCGTTCTGAACTCTCTGCCACTTATATAGGATTTTAGTAAGTGGAAATAAGTGATTGGCAGGTATTTTTTGATTTTGTACAGTAGTCCTGGATACCATACCTTATCAAAGGCTTGACTTACATCTAGGAAGACTGATGTGCAATATTCTTTATTTTCTATTGCTTGGTGTATTTTGTGTGTTATTCTATGTATCTGATGTACAGTGGAGTGGTTTTCTCTAAAACCAAATTGATGTGATGGTATCCATTCTTCTGTATTTGGGTCAGACCTTATTCTTTTTAAGAGAAGTCTTTCGAGGAGCTTAGATATGATGGGTAATAAACTTATAGGACGATAGGATGACACACTATTAGGATTTTTGCCTGGTTTGAGGATCAGGATTATTTCTGCTGTTTTTAGCTGACTTGGCCAGTATTTATGTTTGAGAATAGCATTAAATATATATGTGAGAAGTACTAGCCCTTTTCTTGACATTATTGGAATCACTTCATCAATGCCAGGTGCTTTTCTTGAATTTAAGAGTGCTATTTCATTTTGCACTTCTTTAACTGTAAAAATTTTTATTTCTGGTGTAATGCTGATATTTTCAGATATTTGTCTATTTCTTTATCAGTCTGGTAATCATATGGTGTAAAAACTGTAGCAAGATATTCACCGAACATAGCTGCTTTTTCTTCATCACTTCTTGCCCACGATGTTTGTGGCGCCATTTTATTTCTTATGGGATGTATCTGTGTCTTCGGTTTTTTTAAATGTTTGATGGGTTTCCTGATGGTATTGTCATATCTGTTGAGGCTGGTTATATAGTTAGAGAAGGATATTTCTCTTGCCTCTTTAATTTTACACTTCAGCCTATTACTTATATGGTTATATGTTGTTTTATCTATGGGTGCTTGACTTCTATGCCACCTTGCTCTTGCTCTTCTTTTCTCAGCTATGAATTTTTTAATTTCAATTGGAACATTCCTTGTGTTATTTTGGAAGGTGGTCTTAGGTGTAGCATCTTGGGTTGCCTGTTTTATATTGTTGATTAGAGAGGTTAGTGCACTGTCAATTTCCATTGGGCTCTTGAATCTTACATTTAGATTTATATCTTCTTGTAGTTTCATCCTGTATTCTTCCCAATTTGTTTTTTTATTGTGCAGTTTACTTCTTGGTGTTTTGTGAATAGCATGACTACTGACAGTGACTATAATTGGTGTGTGATCTGAAGAGAGATCAAAACTGGGTACCACATCCATGTATTCTGAAGAAATTCTTCAGTAACGAAGAAGTCCAAGAGGTCAGGGGTTTTGTTGCGACCTGTTGGCCAGTATGTTGGCGTGCCAGTTGACAAGTGCGAATATTTTTGCTCTTGTAGTGTTTTTGATAATTCTCTGCCTCTAGTCATTATTAGGCGAGATCCCATAAGGTGTTCTTGCTACTGTAATCTCTGCCTGCTACAAATTTGTTTCCCAGCATTTTAATTATACCGAGAGTGTGATTTTAATTGTAATTGAATGTTATGTTATGTGATATATGAACGTGTTCAATCAATTGGGCAGAAGGCCAATTAGACTGGAAAAGTTGTATATGTATGTGACGTGTTCGAGAGTTACAATTTGTAACTGTGATGAATGTTAAATAAAATTATTATTATTATTATTATCATCATCATCATCATCACAATATTCTGTGGGGCATATTAAAAGTTAAAAGTTAAATAAAGATCGTTTTTACAGTCAACCTTGTTACATCATTCAGAAGTCTTTTATAGATGCCACAGTCATAAATTTCATGCAGTGACAATGGATTTTGAAAGAAGTACTACATTTTTGTTGTGTGTGACACTTCATCATATCTGAAATTCAGTGATTTATGCATGTTTTGCCCATGCTTTTGTGTTTAATTCTGGCTATAAATTGTGAAAGAGTGACTGTATACCTCCTTTGGCCTAGGAGAAATACTAATTTGTAAATAAATAAATGATTCATCAGACTCTATGTATGCTTAAACAAAATACTGGCACATTAAAAAAACAGTTCATAGTGAAATGATATAAATTACTGTATTATTTCAGCAGTGGACTAAGATCTGTCAGAAAAATTATCACTTTGTTTCCTTTCTTCATTCAAAAGGTGTATAGAATGCAGAAATTTTCTGAAAGAATAAGTAATGTATTTCATTATTAAATTGGTCAAAGATATGTTTCGACTTGGCAGAGTTAGTGGCAGACTGTAAAAGTTTTGATATCTTTTAATGCTATATTAATACAGTTTGTGAATAAAAAAGGTTAAAAGCAGTAATCCAATAATCCCCAAACTGTTTTCTACAGAACTCTGAGGCTGTGTTTTAAATTTAATAAGCCAAACAAGAAACCATATGAAGCAGGTGCTTGCTACCTGAGAAACTCAGTTTTTCACAACAGCTCTGGGGGCCAGATCTAGCCCTAGGGCCAAAGTTCATCCACCCCTGACCTAGATCTGTGTATGTTCCACATAAGAAGCCAAGACTTACTTCAATACACTGACCCTCAGTAATATATGATGAAGTTGGTTTCAAAAAAATTACAGGCACTTTGGGCAAAGGAAGATTCCTTTCAGTCAGAAGAGATCTGCAACATGAAAATGTCTTTCAGAACTTCAATTGCTAATATAAAATCCAATGGAATATTATGGTATTTTATGTCATTAACTATTCAGCAGTCCTAGCATTCACCATCTGAAATTTACATTACACATTCATTTTAAAAATATGTATGCAGGAGATGAAATTATTGGAAGTTGTAATTACCATGTATTGTGAAGGTCTTGAAATTATGGAGAAAGTTTTTCATGCTATTCCTATTGGCATTATACCCTAACATAACATATGGTACAGTCTTGTTTATCAAATGGCAGTTATTCAATTGGTCTAGAAATTTCCTGTTTTTCTAAACAGCAGAAGGGCTCATTATTAGGGCTCAACAAACTCATTTATTTCAAATCATTTTTAGAAATGTAGGCATGGCATCCCTGTTGCGTAACTATGTCAGAAATCCTAAGACTTAAACAGAAAGTACAAAGGATACAAAGTACATTAGATGTTTCATTTTACTGTATGACGTTTGTTCAAAACATTTTTTCACTACAATGAATATTTAAATGGTTCTGTTCGAAGTAGGCACAGAAAGGCAAATGGGTGTCTGTGTAATGCCAATTACCTGTATTTGTATTCATTGTAAGTTCGAGAGATCCAAAGATGGATATAGAACATGTCATAGAAATAATATAGAGCACAGAATACATACATAGTTATTACACAACCAGACAATACAATGAATACAACAATAATAAAAGTTATCTATTTAGATATTCATCCACAGTATAAAACGCATGAATGTTCGAGAAATGCCTTAATACAACCTTAAACTTTTTAAAATTATTAGATTTGTTCTTGATCTCTATGGGCAAAACTCCTTTTTGATAAACAGTTAAATTGGTTTGAGATACATACAAATCTTGTCTTTGTGTAGTATTAATAGTATGAGAATCAATGTTTTATGGAAACAGAACTTTATTTTGCAATACAAATACTAACAACAAAAATTTACATTGTGATGCAAATGATAAAATATTTAACCCTTGAAATATGTTTCTACACAAAACTTTACTGCATATCCCAACATTGCTCTGATAGCCTTATTTGGAAAGAAAAATAGCAGAACTATGAGATGAGTTTCCCCAAAAGATGATATCATAGCTCATTAAGGGGTGAAAAAAGGAATAATAGATTACCCTTAAAGCTGAAATAGACATACAATATTTCATATTTCTAATTATGTAACAAGCTTTACTTAATTTTTTTACAAGTAAATCAATGTGATTCTTCCGTATTAAGGCACTATCAACTGTAACTGACTGTAGGTCATTTTCTCCAAGGAATCTGTCCAGGTCCGAGGCTTTGTGTTCATTTTCGTAACATACTTATTTTTTATGGTGAGGAGTTGTTAGCCCCACGCCCAACCCCCAAGCTGGAGGGCCACCCCTTGTCGGCTGTCCACGACTGCTTATTCAATACATTCACAGCTTCCCTCCAAAACTGGAGGGTGTATCCTCCATCCGCAACCTGAGGACGCGCCACGCCGTGGTGACAGGGGCCCACCTAACATGGACCCTCAGTCTATGTTCCTCCCTTAATGTCAGAGACCAAGTTTCACACCCATACTGAACCACAGGCAAAAGTATAGTTTTGTATATTCTAATTTTTATGTTTTTGGACAGTAGACGAGAAGACAAAAAGGTTCTGGACTGGATGGTAGCAAGCATTACCCAAGTTCAATCTCCTCTTAATTTCCTCCTGAATCAGGTTGTTCATAGAATTTAAAATCTCTGTAGTCAATGTGTAAATTGCATTATCTGTTTTTAATCCTTTCCTAAATCCGTACTGGTCAGTACTTAGGATGATATACTTATTAAGATGTTATAAAGTTCTTGTATATATTATAGTTTCAAATATTTTCGATAAAGATATTTTAGTCTATCAGGAAAAACTCCTCCCCTTAATATTTTATTGCATATATAGTTTATAGGTGAAATTATAAATGGCGAGCTTATTTTTAAAATAATGGGTGATATCTCATCATATCCACATGAGTTTTTTAATTTAAGTGATTTGATTATATTCTCTATTTGTAGAGCATTTATAGTTTACATTAGGGTACAAATTTATAAAAGCATGATCCATATATTACATATGATTTTCTTTTTTCTTTGAATCATTCATAGGTATGGAATTCTTGTTGGCTTGTCTTTTTATTTTATTTCTTTCATTTTAACCAAGATCAGAATGTGCCATGACATTTTTAATAAAATTCCCTATTATCAAATTCCATTAAAATTTGTTAAGCAGTTCTTAACAAGAGCTCATCAGGGTTGCCAATGCGCCTGAATAGCATTCCATCCTTAACCTAATAACGACACATTTGTCCTAGCACCAATGCTAGATTTTGTAGAAAGAACAAACAGATTTTATGAACACGGCTGGCAAGGCAATAACATATGAAATACATTCAGGAGACACTTTCAACACTACCCGAAAAACAACCATATTAAAATGTGTAGTTTCATAATCATGTTTATGAATATTAGCATGTATTTCATCGTCACCACTACTGTACTGTACTGTATATGCTTGGAATTTCAGCTGCCAATAGCACTAAGAACTAGCCAGTCCAAGAAATTCCCTGCCAAAATTTGTAATATTTCAAACTGCTACAGCAGTATCACTGAACTCTACACACTAAATGCCTAATATACATACTGCACAAACATACCTATAATTTAATCCTGCACCAGCAATTTTCTTTCCATACCTCACAAAATGCTTAAGCTCTGCAGTTGCCATGTTCAATTTAGAAACAGAACTTCTCTATCAAGCTGTATTGGAATGTAGCCAAAATGTTCCTGCAATGTGATAAATGTTGCTCAATGTTTTCAACATGGGAAATGGATACTTATCACAAAGTTCATCATTTGTATATCATAATATAAATTATGATTAGCTAATGTAAATTTTTATTTATTTATACAAAAATGTTTTTATTGGTAGTTAAACTTAGACTTAAAGAGGGAAAAAGAAAACAAAATAGTTTCTCAATCTTTCTACCAGTTATAGATAGAATAAGAGTTTCATTCCTTAGGGAAGGAAACAGATATTTTCAATTTTTGAACCTTGTACATTCAAAATTATCAAAAAAAGAAACAGAATGTCCTGGCTAGCAGATAACTATTTCATGTGAGCTGTTACAGCATGTAAGAATGAGTGTGAAAAACTTTCTTCTTGGACAGAATATCATAAATTTTAAGGACCATCCCAAAAGTTTCAATATGTAACATTATGCAAACACAACTTCCACCAATGGTATCTATTACACTAAAGCAAGAAGTACAAACCTAAAGCCAAAGAACTGTATATGACTTAACTTCCTCATTTTTATTTCACACTGAGATGCTCTATAAGGTTGTAATTTAGTCAGAATTTCTTTCTGCTGAATGCAATGGTATCCCCTACCAACACTTTACTAGCAAAACATAAAAGGTAAAGGTAAGAGGTAAAGCTATCCCTGCAACAGGCCCATGAAGGCCCATAGGGTTGTGATACGTCAAGGCTCCCACATTTTCTCTAAACAATCAGCTTACTGATGGTGGTAAGGTTATCAGCCTTATGCACTAGCCACCCTTTACCCCCCAAGAAGATTCATGGTACTCATTTCTGTTAGAGGATTCAGTAGACCCCAGGGCCATAGTGCAGCTGGAAGGATTAGTCAAATTGAAAAGAAAAATCCACCTCATCGGGACTCAAACCCACAACCTTTTGGCTTGTAGCATAGTGCCTCAACCAACTACACTGCTGCATATATTAGCAAAACATAAAAATTAAAAACTGTCTGCATCATCCCATCCTTATACCTGAATATTTGTACTTTTATACAAAAAAACTCTAATTCAATCATGTTTTAGATATTATAACTGAAAGAGTGTTCAAGACAATACTTTTTACCTTCTGGTTCAAAGTAAGTGAAAGTAAATCTCTGCTTCATCTTTACATCAATATTACATACATTTCAGTGGCACGATCTTGCTATTGTAAGTTTTAACCTCTTTTCAATATGGCTGGACATGATTAATAAAAATCAGATTTCTGTCATAAATATCTCCAGTAGGAGCCACAGATGGTCAGCTGATGAATGCAAGAAAATCTGGAAATGAAATTTTTCCACTGTTCCAAAATATGCAGTCAAATTGGAGCAGATACCAGAGAGCTATAATTAAATTATACATTCTGGCTCTGTGAACACCTATTATCTGTCAGTTAAGCATTCAGGATTATGGAATTTGAAGTTATTAACTTTTAGACTGAAACAAGTTCTTTTGAAGTTCTCCATAACTCTTTTTTGTATCTTCATAGTAACAGCAGCATGCTGCCCACACTGAGGTAGTACCTCAAGACCTTGCTGATAACAGTTTCACAGTCATCTGGTCTTGGAATCTTTAGTAAATACTCTCATTTGAAAGAAAACCATAGAGTATGTAACAATTAAGCTTACAATAATCCTAATTCTTACACACAAACACAGACACATGGATGGTGTACATGCACAGACATAGGCAGAGAGAAATAGAGACCAGACAAACATACACACACACACACACACACATATTACACTGATAATTCAGATATGTAACCCAGATTTAATGGAAAAGAAATTTAATAACACAATGTAATTGATACATGTTAATGTTAACATATTGTGGCATAATGTTGTATTTTAGTGTCCTGTTGCACTGATTTTCATCCATGATATGTATGCAGTGGCCGTCTTGTAGTGCACTCAATTTTACCTGTTACTTCACAACATGTTTCGGCAACATAGTGCCATCATCAGGTGCCCTAATTACGTTAATCTATTGCATTGCTTGCCCTCATATGTCTTCACAACACCATTTAAAAAGTATTTAAAAGTGTGTATTTGTCAACTATAATAAATTTACACTCACTAAAACTGCGAGTCACAGCTATGAAGGGAACACACATCACAAGACATGGTTTACACAGAAAATAAGAAAAATGACCCCATAGTGAATGAACCACACGCAAGTTTTAATTAAGACACATAAGATAAATAATCTTAACAAGTTTTAGTGAGTGTAAATTTATTATAGTTGACAAATACACACTTTTAAATACTTTTTAAATGGTGTTGTGAAGACATATGAGGGCAAGCAATGCAATAGATTAACGTAATTAGGGCACCTGATGATGGCACTATGTTGCTGAAACATCACGCACAACATGAGAGTTGCGAATTGTATTGGCGCGTTGCTAGATGAAAACTCTGTGAACGCTTGGATTGGCAACAGGAAGTGCGAGTGACATCACATACCCCTCTCATCCCATAACTACGCAACAGGGGAGTCCATGCAGAGACTAATGTTAGGCAATCGGTAAACATGTCACACAACAGTGGTAGCTATCATGTAACTGTTTTCTGTGTTGTCAGTGCGGAAGCTATATAATGAGGAGTATTCGTTGGTGAACTGCCACAAAGAGAAAGCAGTTCACAGGTGATTCAGAGTACTGACACCGTTGTGATCACTGAGAGTGAGTTTGAGAGTTGAAGAGATTTGGAGTTAGAGGTTTCGACAAGTGAGCTGATTTGAGTACACAGTGACACAGGTCGTTGATTCATTAGTTCAAGTGTTTGTCCACTGCTTGTGTGTGTGTGAGATTGTGGGTCAAGATTATTGGCAATTAGGTGTGTGTTGGCATTGGTTGTAGCTGAATAGTGAAGAGAGGAGTCTGCAACATTGGATTACTATTTATATTCATCGTTAATAGTGGTTTTTTGAAAACTGAAGTGAGTGAACATGAGACAAGAACAGTGGTGCCAAAAATGGCTGCCATCCCAGTGCCGGGATACCAGGCACATTGGACCAAGAAGTGTCAGATGCTAAAATCACGGTATCAGCATCTGGTAGGCCAGTTCCCCAGTGCAGACGCACAGCTGAAACAGCTCCTTCAAGTACTCCACAACATCGAGGGCATGGTAGGGTACACTCCATCTTCGGTGGGTGACAGTGAACAGTGGTCATCCATCATCAGTGACGCAGACGAAAACGGCCAGAACTACTGCCAGGTCCTACTAGGGAAGACCCTGTTTAGTGCCCTGTATGGCATATACACAGTAGCCTTACAGGAATTAAAGGCGGTGCTGAAGGCGAGCAGCTGACCTTGAAAAAAAAAGTGGCAGCTACTGAAATCATGCCCCCTAAAGAGGTTGCCACCCACAACTTCTCTGACCCCCTGAAAACATCAATGGAGACTGACAGCACTAGTGCAGAGGCTGCCACACCCAAGGAGGCAGTCTCTGGCAGAGCAGGTAGGCCGCCTCCAATAATATTGACATCATCCACGAATCTCATACAGTTGCAAAAGAAACTGAAAAACGTGGTCAAGGACGACTCCGAGTTCCATAGCACAAGAAACGGAACCAGAGTCGTTACGAAATGCATGGTGGATTTCGAAGCCATCAAGTCACATTTCACCAACAATAACCTAGCCTATTATTCCTTCTTCCCAAAATCCCAGAAGGCTGTTAAGGCAGTAATCTGACACCTCCCCATCAATACCCCTGCTCAGGATATTTCAGAAGGTCTGGAAAACCTGGGCTTCAACGCTGTTGGCATCAAGCAAATGACAACTCGTCGATCCCAACCTGAAGAAGCAACATCCAGGAACCTTCCTTTGTTCCTGATAACCTTGCCGTGGATGGCAAAATCACAGAAAATATTCAATCTGCCAAGCCTTTGCCACATGTCAATCAAGGTGGAGACGTATAGAGCTCAGATTGGATTTATGCAATGTCATAACTGTCAAAAGTTTGGCCACATCTGGGCTAACTGTAAACAACCTCCCCGCTGTTTGTGATGTGGAGGCGGCCACCTGCATAAGGAATACCCAGAGAAGGGAAACGCTGCTTCCACCCCAACATGCTGCAACTGCAGAGAGGTTGGCAGAGGGAGACAAGCCACATCCCTCCAACTATCAGGGTTGCAGACACACCAGGGAAGAGCTGCAAAAAAGGAAGGCGAAGAGAACACCGAAAACTGCTATGGAGAGGGTGATCTGATCAAACCTCGTCACCCCTTCGTGGGTGCACTACAAGGCAATGCAGAACAACAGCAACCACAGGCAAACCCCACTCCAATGGTTTGTCCTACAGTAACAAAACGACAAAATGTATTGGCCCTTGCACTGCAGAAAGAAACAGGTTAGTCAGTTTAGGCTGCTCATGCGAACAGTCAACCTCTTGACAACATGTCGAGAGTTGTGACCGCATTACAGCAGATCATGACAGAGTTCAATGATGTAGTGTCTGAGGACAAAATAATGGCCATTACAAAAACTGTTTTAAATCTCATGAAACAAAATGGCCGCTAGAGTTCATAGGCCACTCAAAATCATAGCATTTAATGCGAATGGCATTGGGAGGCAGCACTATGAGCTCAGTAAACAGCTGCAAGACCTACGTGTAGATGTGGCCCTGTTTTCAGAGACACATCTGAAACCTCCTGAGAGATTCTTTCTTCCAAATTATCACTTTTGTAGAACCGACCACCACTCAGGCGGAAAAGGCAGAACTGCTGTTGCAGTTGGAATAGGCATTCCCCATAACCATGTAGATTTACCACCCCTTGTTTCAGTAGAAGCAACAGGGGTCTGCATACCAATTGGTAACAGTGAAGTACTGCTTGCAGCTGTTTATAAATCTCCAGGCAGGACCTGGATTGATGTTGACATCACTGAGCTCTTAAGCTTTAGATGTAAGTCTATTTTGGCAGGCAATTTTAACGCTAAGCACCCATTTTGGAATAGCAGAGAAACTCATGGATTTATTTGATATGAGTAATTTCAAAATCCCAGCACCACAGTGCCCCACTTATTATTCCCCTGTGGGAAATGGTGACATGTTAGACATTGTTGTCAACCAAAATATCAGAATGTCAGATGTCATTGTCTCCGATATTTTGGACTCAGATCACCTACCAATAGTATTCCACACACTGGATCATGTTAAAATTAGGAACCTTTCGGAACCTATTGAAAAATTCACAGATTGGGAGTGGTTTCAAAGCCTCACCTCTGAACTGATATCACCTAAAATAGAAATTAAGTCTGGGGTAGAAGCTGATAAAGCGGCGTGTGAATTTGCAGCCTCTATTGCTTCAGCATATAGGTTGTCCACAAGAAAAGATACACTTACAGACATAAACAACGGTCTTCCTGGTCTAGATCACTTTGTAAAACATAAGCAGAGGCTATGAAAATTGTGGCAAGAAACCAGGGATCCAGTGTGTAAGATAGCACTAAACTGGATCACAAAATCAATGAGGCGAACGATCCGAAAAAAGGCACTTGAACGGTGGGAAACAAAAATAGGTAATGCTGCTGCTAATGGTGCTGCAGGCCTTAAATTTCACCCATTCACAAAAGCCAAACCAACTGCTGATTGTTTGGAAATTCAGTTCACGCTGCACGATCTGTGCGACGATAACCATGAACAGTGGGTGGAGGCTCGAGTTCCAGCTCTGCTCGAAACCATAGACGACAAACCCCTTAAAAGGATCAGACCATGTGACGTACAAAAATTGATAAATTCCTTGAAATCGAGAAAGGTCTGTGTAAATGACGGCATCCCAGATGAATGCCTGAGGCAACTTCCAAGGTGACCACTGGTTCACCTAACCCATTTATTTAATCACTGTCTCTGGCTCTCTCATTTTCCAAATACTTGGAAGGAAGCAAGAGTAATAACTTTACCTAAACCCGGTAAAGACACCAAATTCCCACAAAATTTACGTCCAATCAGCCTCCTGTCCATGACAGGAAAACTATTCGAAAAAGTAATTTTGAAATTATTACAAAAACATACTGAAGAAAGAGGCCTGCTCAACGCAAGCCAGTTTGGTTTTTGTGCATGTCACAGCATGGCATTGCAATGTATGAGGCTGGTGAACCACATAACCCTTAATTTCAACAATAAAATGTCTACGGCTGTGGTGTTCTTGGACATCGAAAAAGGCTTTGATACCACATGGCACTCAGGCTTGCCATATGTTATCAAAATAGGAATTCTTGAACAGTTTGACCAAGCTTATTGGGTCCTTTCTTTCTCAATGTAAATTCAGAGTTTTGGTTGAAGGCAAAATGTCAACGCCAAGGGAAATTCAAGAAGGGGTGCCTCTAAGTTCAGTCCTTTCCCCTACTCTTTTCAATTTGTACATAAACGATGCTCCCCCAAACACATGGTGTTCACCTGGCCCTCTTTGCGGATGACACCTGTCTGTATGTGACAGATCGCAAGGAGGGTTTTATTGTTAGAAAACTCCAGCGCGGTCTCACCTCCATGGAGACCTGGTGTGAGCACTGGAATATTAACATTAATGAAGGTAAAGCTCAGGGGGTCTACTTCTCTCATGGTTGTCGACCACCTGAGTCTTGTCTCACTCTAAATGGACAAAATATTCCATTTGTAAATAGTGCAAAATATCTAGGTGTAATCTTTGATAGGAGAGTTACATGGAGATTGCACATAGAAATGACTGAGGCCAGAACATTTATTAGAGTATATTCCCTATTCAAAAGCGATTGAGAGCTAAGTTTAAAATGGCCCTCCACATAGTTCTTATTAGATTTGTGATGACTTATGCTAGTCCCGCCTGGGAGTTTGTGGCAGACACCCATCTCGTGAAATTGCAGCACCTGCAAAACAGGGTTCTCCGGACCATTGGCAATTTTTCAAGGCGCACACCCATCCGTAATTTGCGCATGGCATTCAAAATCCCATATGTATATGACTACATAACCAAATTATGCAGGAAACAAGCAGAAATCATACAATATCATGAAAATGAGAATGTCTGCAACATCGGACAAGGTGAAGCCTTAAGGCTTAAACTTAGCGGCAGTCAGGCATACAGTTGTTCAAGTGACTAGACTGCCATGGTAGCGAATACTACTAGAAATAGGGTGTAATCTGCTGTACTGAGCCTGGATTGACAGAGGCCTTGTATATATTGTACATGGGAATTAAGATTAAATTTGTAAATATATGTAAATATGGACAATGGACTTACTAATATGGACTATGACTGACAAATTACAGACCTGACCTCTCGTCAGAGACGGCACCCCAAACAGACAGGACAGTATAACTTTCATATAAGGTAAAAGCAGAAAGAAAAAAATCTGGTCATGAGCCCCAGCTGGGGCTCGACACCAAGACAGACAGACTGACTGACCGTCAGTCGCAATGTGACTTGGACTTGAACTTGGACTTGAACCAGAAAGAGAATTACGAGTATTAGAATGTTCGTCGAAGACAGTGGAATGTGCGAGATGAAAGCTTTGGCTAAGGCAGTAATCGTAAAATTGTAAACTGTGTAAGTGTAAGAGTGATTGTACAATAAATTCGCTAAGATCCAAAACGGCGTGGAGTTATTTGTTGCGTTACAAACACCCAACACAAGACAATATTTATAATATACTCCGAAAGTGAACTACTCTTGCAATAGCAGTACTGGCTGACTCTACCAGCTATGTTTTTGGTAGAAATTAGGAGCATTTAAAATTATCTGTTATGTTCAGGTGCAAGTATACTGTTTATGTGACAGAGGGACAGACTTACTCACTCCAGGGATGATTATAAATGCAGATATATGAATATTCTTATTCTGCCAAATACTTTGTTTACAATCCAAATTCACTTGATTCAGCTGACACAATAATGAAAACTTGCAGACACATCTCTTGCAGAATTTGAGATTTTCATGACAGTACTATGGGTGTCATACCATGTAACATTTTGGACGAACCTGCTGCCTCCATCTTTTGGACAGAAGAGTAAGTCACACAGAAGCAGTCAGTTTTACAGAAACTGGAGGGCAAGTTCCACAACTGAGAGCGAACAAATTAGGCGAGGAGTAAAAACTATGAAGGTATTTATCATTTGCAACTGTTCGCTGCTGGATGTTATATACGTTTCATAAACCCAATGCCTATCGCATGATGAGGAGTTCTGAATGTTTAAACTGTGTACAGGTGTAAATAAGCTATAATCCTCCTAACCTCAAATTCGACGCATCCTCACACTTCTTTCAAAATAGGTACTTTTGGAAGATACATCTACTTACAACTTGGGCTTTATTATTGTTAGATGCTGTCTAATATGCTATTTTCGACTTAAAGGCTCTCTGATATGCACCAACAAATCCCCACAAATACTGACAACCATCTTTCACATAAAGTTACTGCTTTTGTATTTAAATACTACCAACTTTGCGTGCTATTCGTGAGGATTAGATGAGTACTTGTGGGGCAATTTTGAACCATGAGAAATATAAATTATATTACGTATACCTACATATCTGTGCAAATACAATTATTTATTTCAAGAATTAATCCATGGCTGATAGTGAATAAAGGATAAATACAGAAAAATTCTTACATGTAGAACTGCTATTATTTTGGCCACTCTTGCTTCCGCTACCATAGCGCTACCTACACTAGTAAATGACGTCACAACAAAACTTTTATTGACTTCCTGTGTATGGGAGTGTTAATGAGTATCTTCTCTTTAGGATATATTTTAGTAAGCGTGTGTGCATAAACGATGCTTAGTATGGAAACGGATAAAATTATTGAAGACACTAATACTAATTCACAGGTAAGAACGTTATGTAATGCTTCTTTTATTTCATGAAAGAGTGCATGAATATTTGAAGCCTTGGAACAATCGCCATCTTGCAAATTTTAACTGTGGGACGTAGCCTTTAATTTTGTGAATGTAATAGATATGAATAAGAATATGCCGAAGAAGAAACTTATGTGTTTTCAACCATGCCACTGAATCATTTACCAGAAACTTAACATTCTTATAACAGTACTGGTATTCGTTGCGAAAAGGGCACTATTACTACCAAATGTCAAGATATCTAACCTTTGTATACTAATTTTACAGTGTATCTTTTGTATGTGTGTGTGTGTGTGCAGCTTTGATTAGCAACAGAGAAATGTACCTCAAAAATACACAGTGTTTTAATGATACCGTAGTTAAGTGTTGGTATTTTTCTGTTGTTCATTTTACATTCCTGACCAATTTTTGCGGGATTTTAAACCAAATTTTGAAACAGGATGAGTTGTATTTGTATTTATTGTAAGTTCAAGAGATCCAAAGATGGATATAGAACATGTCATTGTATAGTGTCGAATGGCAGGATAGGTGAATGATGTGTCGGAAATGAAGCAGTTGTGGAATATTTTAATATTCTAATCCAGTAAGTGCTAGGAGATCGAGGAAAGGCATGAGGATCTCACAGAGTAGCTGGTGTGTGGGCTGAGATTCGAACATGGGGACCCCTAACTAGGGAGTAGGAATGCTTTGTACGCAACTTCATTGTTTAAAGGTGTGGCTGTATGAACAGAGAGTTTATTACGTTATTTGCCAATGTTGTAGACATGGTTGTGGACCTGCAGTAGTATGTTGGTGTGTTATGGCTGCACCATAGCCCAAGTGGTTAGTTGCTGGTTTCCCACCGCGGTGGCCCGGGTTCGATCCTGGGTCTGGTCCATTGAGATTTGTGGTGGACAAAGTGGTGCTGGGGCAGGTTTTCTCTGAGTGCTTCATTTTCCCCTGCCAATCTTTATTCCACCAAATTTTCCATCATAATCACCCGGGGCAGTTACAATAGGCCAATCAGTGGCTACCATGCCAAGTGGACCTAGCTGGACTCCACCCCCCCACTAAGCAAAATGTTGGTGTGTTTGGCCCAAGCAAGTTAGCACAGAGAGTGGTGGCAAATAAATTTTTGACTTTAGTATAAGAATCTTGGATCACTGGATTTTGTTCAGTTTTAGTATATTTTAAGCAGTGTTTTGGAGTCGTGGTGATAGAGCATTTCCTTATGTTATTTGTGTATTTTATCAGAATTTGCTTTAGAGATTCAGTTTAATTGATCAACATTCCGTTAATGTTCAGAATATCAGCCACACCATCATAGCGAACAATAAAATCTTATGTTATTAGATAACCAAGCACAAATCATTTTAAATACATGGGAAGTAGAGGTGTACTCCATTGGACACAAACATAGTCTATATTGGTGTGGAATTGTCGTTGCTTGAAGAGAAAATCATGTATTGAACTTCTATACAAATGTTTATTGTTGTTATAATGGACATGCAGATGGGCTTTTTACAACAACTAAAACACACACCCAGTATTCCAGTCTCTTGTGTCTTTGTTAGTCGTGGCTTAGAAGTGCTTCGGACAATGGAAATTCCTCCAACTCTGTGCTGTCTTTTCAGCATGTGTATTTCTGAGGCTGAATATTATGTTACAACCAACGGTCAGTCAGCCAATGTGTCATGGAATAAAGTCCTCATCTGGAGCTTAGGACCAGATTTTTATTACTGTCAGACATTTGCTGGTTTGTTGATGTGGGGGCGCTCTCTCAGACAAGAGGGCGGGTCTGTCATTTACAATTGCTACTGTTCCTCGCCAGCGCAGTCATTCTCGGATCTGAGTTCCATGGGACTCGTGACCATATCTTACTGTCTCAAATTCGAGACTTCCATTTTTGTCACCTCATATGACTCAGGGCTACTGTCGGAGTATTAAACCCTCCCTCCACACGGGATAACACCATCCTGATTGATTCGTGTCTGTTTCTAGCTGTATCTTCCTCTTGTATAACCTCGGGCCAGATGTCACGGAAAAGAGTTCCATTTCCCAGCAGTGGATGTCCACTGCTGTCGTGTGTTGATGTAGGCTTTACCTAGCAATGGGTTGTTTACCCCAGAATCTGTCTTCCTGGAAATGTGTTTACTGATCTGTTGCTTAGCAGCGGATGTTTCCTAGGCTGTGGTTGACAACTAGTGCATTGGAGGTACGTTCTCGCTAGACAGAGCGCAAACCAATGGACTTTTGAACTGTTGTGGTCCGTGCTGCTGGGCTGACACTTAATTCACTTCTTATTACATTATATTTTCTTTGTATCGAGCCTTTACATTGTAGTGTTGAGCAGAATTTACATATGATCTTGTACTGAAATTTATGTGGCAGGAAGGGATGAGGACCAAGAAAAATGTGTAGAATTTCATATTATTTTGTACAGGAGTTGATTTGAGGGCCACATGACCATTTGGTGACTAAACTGCAAGATTCACCAGAGTGAAATGCCAGACACATATTTTTGTAATTGTACTTGTAAGAAGGTAATTATGACTTGCATCTCGTGGCTTTTGTTTTGTATTACTGTCTTAAGTGAAGATCTGCTTTCTTGACACAGAAGATACATAATCCTATGAAAAGCTTCAACTGCTGTTTTCACTTTCAGAACTTACCAGCACACATAATGCAGCCTTTTTATATGCTATGGAAGCCATGTTAACATTGACATGGCTCAAAATAAATTAATTAACCTTAATTATAAAAGAGAAATCATGAAATTCCAGCATATAAACCTGTAGGATTTAGTGATGGTGGACTCCAGGTTGGAGGTTGATTTATGAGAATTTATATATGATCTTAGCTGGACTTCTGGATGTACCTGGGCTTTGGCTGTGATCAGTTAATTGGTCTAAGATAACACGGCTGTTGAATAGTGAGTTTTGCAGTAATGATGATTGGATTGAGTTCCTGAAGATAAAGGTAGTTACTACTCTAAAGTACAGCCAGATTAGAAATACCAGAATTATCTAGTGATATATAGGTATATCCCAAAAGATCAAGTGATTATTAAGCCCTTTCCAAATTTCTCTTCTTTGTGGTAAATAAATAAACATGCACTTCCAGTGATCTGTGTATAGGGAATATGTAACTTAATTGGAAAGACAGTGGGAGATAACCATTGGATTCACATTTTTGTATAAACTAAGTATATATATATATATATATGAATGTGCAAAAGATTTGCCTTGGCCGTGTGTGGAAGTGTTATAATTAGAAAGTTTACTTCTGCATGATGCAGTAATGCTTATTCCATCAGCACATTCTTGTATGATGATTTTACATCAAAATTAATTGACACCACATTTTCAACACCGGTTCATATTCATGAAATGCTTTTCCTTTCTCTAATTTGAATCTTTGTGTCAGTGGCAGAATATGTATATGTAAGTTACATATAATGAGGTCTGAAATTGAAGATATATCCTTGATATTTGTGTGGGCATACCCCATACTGTTCTGCAGGGATATTATATGGCAGTGAGCCACAAATCCTTCAGTTGGGTGAGGTGGACACACACTCCTAGAATCAACTTAATCACATGCATTCAGAACTCCAGTGTAATTAACAAAACGTTAGGTCAACATATCGCAAACAAAACCCACCCAGATAAAAGTTGATGTCATAAAAACTTCATGGTGTTATGTCCATATTCGTGACACTGCCATCAAATGTTCACATTTATGTATTGAAGTTCGTTTTTGGAAATCAAGAAAATCTGAAACCCTACCGGAAGTGTATGCCAGCATATTCTAATTTCTCACATGGTATCATACATGAATATTCGTTTTACTTTGTGACTCTCACATGACTGATAATTTGTCCATGTGCTAAACTATTTAAGCACTTTGTCTTTTGTTATGAGTTATATTCTGTGCAGGTGTATGGACTTAAACATAATCTGTAGTCTCTAACTACTTTGTTGCACCTTTTATGAATGCATGTCATTGTAGTATTTTTTCTCACATTAGAATGGAAAATCTTATTCCAATTGTATTGTTAGATTTGGATGACACACGAACTGACATATCTGTACCAACTTATATCCTTTCTTGGTGCAGGTTAGAATTACATTGGCTTTCATTGCATGTGCAGACAGATTACTGCAGATTTAATAATATACTGGAATTGCTTAAGGCAAAGATTCTGGTTCTAGGATGCTGTAGATGGAAGAATGAAAATTCCCCAATTTTTCACTTTCCTGATAGACAGTAATAAGTGTGAGTTTCAAGGAAATTTGAATTGAAATCTCATGAATGTAGAATTCATACCACATCACCGTGGAATATCTTTGGCCTTGATCTTTGGTGTGAACTGTCCCCATGGAGCAGAATCTGTCTTGAGAAGCTGTTGCTCTTCTGTTCAAGAAGTTTCCTGCATTTTACAGAATCGAAAAGTTCATTACCATGTTCACAGAAGCCCTTCATATCTTCGCACTCAATTTCTTCTAGGTCAGTTTTAATATTATACTAACATGAACGCCTAGATCTTCCAGGCCGTCTGTTTCCTACAGGTTTTCTGACTAGAACTTGGCATACATTTTCTCTTTTCTCCCATGCGTTCTGCATGCCCCGTCTGTCTCATCCTGTCTGATTTGATTATCCTAATATTTGACAAGGGGTTCAGGTTTGGTCAGCAATTTTCTGAATCCAGCTGTTGCTTCTTCACGCTTACGCACAAGTATTCTGAAACACCCTATTCCATGTTTTTCTTGTAATGTGACGCAGAGTTTTACATCCATAGGAAACAACAGACATTTTAGTTTTGTATATTTTAATTTTTGTGTTTGTAAATAGACTTGAATTCAAAATATTCTGAATTATGTTGGCAATCATTCTCCTAATATAATCAGCTCTTAATTTCGTGTCCTGGAAGGTTTGAATACAGCCATTGGCTTGGGAGGACCACAAAAATGCCTGTGTTGGGAAATGAATGT